AGTAGAGTGCCAGTATGTGTGTCCAGCCTCACTTTCCCTTACCACCTTGATTATCCTCCACAGCCAAGTCCCTGTTTCTGTAATTGCTTTTCAGTATTTGGGCATAAAAAACCTCAACAGAAGCAGACAGTACTGATGACAACTCAGTCACTCCACTACTCACTTCCCAGCAACACCTGTCCTATGTCTAGGAGAAATGTGAAACCACACTCTCCATGTATTCATCATGCAGTGATGGGCATGGAAGATTCCATGCTAGCTTCAAGCAAGGGAGTTTTTCCTTAAAAATAACTTTAGACCTTACATGCTAATGTAAAAGTAGTAAATGAAATCTAGCTATAGGCCAAAGAAATATAGAGTCTATTCACCATAAACTTGGTATCTCTTCTGTGTTGAGAGAAATAGATTGTGTTCTGTTTTTGAGTTTGATCTTGAATCAAAACTGCTTGTAACATTTTTCAAAATTGTTGATGTTGTGTTTCATTGTAAGAATCTGAGACAAATAATTTACCCCAAATTTCGAGACAAATAATAAATGTTGGCAAGGTTGCAGAGAAAGGGGAACATTTGTACACCGTTGGTAGAAATGTAAACTAGCACAGGCATTATGAAAACCAGTACGAGGTTTCTCAAAGAACTAAAAAATATAAAAACTAAAAATATAACTACCATATAATTCAGAAATCCCACTGCTGGTTATTTATCCAAAACAGAGAAAATCAGTATATCGAAGAGCTATCTGCTCACCTATGTTTATTGTAATACTATTCTTGATAGCCAACTTATGGAATCAACCTAAGAGTCCATCAACAGATGAAGAGAGAGACAGAAAATGGTATCTTTGCACATTGGAATATTATGCGGTCATAATAAATAATGAAATCCGTCATTTGCAACAACGTGGATGAAACTGGAGGACATTAGATTAATGAAATAGCCAGGCACAGAAAGACAAATGTAGCATGTTCTCATTCAGATGTGGGAGATGAATTAATTGATCTCATGAAGATAGTAAATACAATGGTGGTCACCAGAGGCTGAGAAGGATAGTGGAAAGGGAAAATAAAGAAGGGTTTTGATGGGTACCAAAATAGAGTTCCATAGAAGGAATAAAATCTGCTCTTTGGTAACACAATGAAATGACTATAGTTAATAAGTGATGGTACATTTCAAAATAACTAGGGAAGACAATTTGGAATGTTCCTAACACTTAGAAATAATAAATGTTTGAGGTGAGGAATATTTCAGTTTCCCAGATTGGATGATTATAAATTGTATGCTTGTATTAAAATATTACATATGTCCATAAATATGTTCAATTATTATGAATCCATAAAACACCACTTTAGAAAACAAACTGTAACTATAACTTTTTCGTGAAAAAGATTTGTCTCTGTCTTCCTTTTGAGAACTAATTTGCCTCTTTTCAAGTATTTACTCCCTTCTCATTTTCAATTTAAAACAAGGGTTTAAAGATCTACTTTTTCTTTAAAATTTTATTTCAAGATGCATTCACTTTTGCCGATGGTGGAATGCCCTATTGTGTTAGTCTGTTCTCATGCCGCTAATAAAGACATACCCAAGACTAAATAATTTATATAAAAAAAGAAATTTAATGCACTCGCTGTTCCACATGGCTGAGGAAGCCTCATAATCATGTCAGAAGGTGAAAGAGGAGAAAGGCACATCTTATACGGCAGCAGGCAAGAGAGAGCATGTACAAGGGAACTCCTTTTTATAAAACCATCAGATCTCATGAGACTTATTCACTATTATGAGAACAGTGCAAGAAAAACCCACGCCCATGATTCAATGACCTCCCACTGAGTCCCTTTCACAACACATGGGGATTATTACAATTCAAGGTGAGATCTGGGTGGGGACACAGAGCCAAACCAAATCACCTATAATTATTTCAATTTTTGGATACATCAATAAATCTAATCCCTTACCTGTTAGAGCACAGTATTTTATAAAATCTCAATTACTTGAGATTTTACTATTTATCTTAATTTCTTTAAAAGTATAATATTTCTTTCAAAAATTTCCATGACAGATTTCTTGAAAAAAATTTAGGATGGCCTCCAGTAGAATAGGTACTAGGTATTGGGGATTTACTTGCTCTATTTTATGATATTTTGCAGAAGGGAGCACATAATTTTACTGCATTTATTTGTGTATTTTTATTTATTTATTTGCAGATGGAGCCTCAATCTGTTGCTCCGGCTGGAGTGCAGTGGTACGATCTCGGCTAACTGCAACTTCAACCTCTCAAGTTCAAGCAAATCTTCTGCCTCAGCCTCCTGAGTAGCTGGGACTACAGGCGAGTGTCACCACGCCCAGCTAATTTTTGCATTTTTAGTAGAGACAGGGTTTTACCATATTGGCCAGGCTGGTCTCGAAATCCTGACCCTGTGATCCATCCTCCCCAGCCTCCCAAAGTGCTGAGATTACATGCATGAGCCACCTCTCCCAGACTAAATTTTGCTGCATTTAAATACACAAGTTATTGACCCTTGTATATTTTTCAGTTGTGCCATTTTCTCCTTAAAACATGAGAAATATCACTTCATTGTTTTAATGTTCATAACTGAGAGAAATATAAAGCTGATTTTATTTTCAACATCTACAAAAATAATTATACTTATTCTACTAGGAATTTTCAGAAAAATTTCCCTCTTGAGATTTAAAACTTCACACAGAAAATGTTATAACACTGATTCCTGCTTATTAATTTTTTTTGTTGAATGCACTGAGACTTCATGATTTTTCAGGTAATTTTAGTCAGATTTGGAAAGCATATAATTTTTTATTTCATTGTATCTTTCACTATTAGTTTTGATCTGCTTTTATTTTTTCAATTTCAGGAACGTTTATTGTTTACAAATTGGATTTGGTTCTTTTTCCTGCCCATTGCAGGTTCTCATATGTTTCCATCCTCTTTACTTATTGTTTTTTCATTCTTCATCATGGTTTCCTTCATCAATTTTTTTGGAAATGTGTGTGTTCTGCACAAGAGGTTTTGTATAGTTATGCAACAGACCAAAAAACTAGGTGGTTCACACTACTAACAAAGGCCTCTAATCAAATTGGAAAGACCTGATTATGGCAGAGTTTCAAGAAAATTGCTCTGGCTAAAGGTGGCCATCTTTTTCCAAATTTCGTGAGAGGAGACTTTATTGTAATGTCACTTGTGGAGCCAGTACTGAGCAAAGACTATTCTAACAGGAGCCAAAAATTATATAATAATTTAAAAAATTAGGGTCTTAATTTTAGATATTAAAGTAATTTACTTTCTATATAACAATAGGAGAGATTTAACTTTTTTCAAACATTACACAACCAGTCTGTTTTATCTTAAAAGTGCTAACATTAGCTACCAAATGTCCTCATCTATGTCCATCACCCATCTATACTTTATAACTCAAATGCTGAATTAAATTAAAATAACAGGTACATCACAAAGAGAAGGAAACTGAAATAGCAGATAAAGTAATTGGCAAACAAACATGGTTATAGTAAAATCAGCAGCAACAAAATCATCAAGTAACAAAATCAGTGATTCAATTCAAAATGACATTTTCAAAATTATCTTGATTAATATTTTCCAAGGCAATGATCAAATTTTCTTCTAAGTTAAATTCTCACCACACACACACACACACACACACACACATACACACACACAGACACACACACACACACACACACACAAATACATATCTATTGCTATTTTCATCTCCATGTATTTTCTTCTTTACGTAACAAAATCATGCCATTTTCTATATTTCTTCTTTTTAATGTACTCTAAGCTAAATTATAATTTTACGTAGATCTCAAAGTATTTCCTAATTAATTATTTTTTATTGATCCATGTCACCGTTGCTTGTAAGTAAAAAGACTGGCTTCTAAAATCAGTCACAAAATCCAGATTAATTGATTGAGCTACTACTTACTTCTACCTAAGTAGCATGGATAATAACAACTGTGGTTCATTTTCAGGGCTAGAGGGTAGACCACTTAATTATTTGTCATAAAGATTAAAGCGGACAGCTTTCTGGGAGAGAATCAAAAGTCCTGGTGAATTGTGTGTAGAGGAACAAAGATAAACATAACCTAATAGTAGCTGGATTTGGAATTAGACAACAGGCCAGATGGAGATCAACTATCCAACTCTACCTCTTCTCTAGATATTTGAGTGAAAAACATCAATACTACAAATATTTTTATGCAAGAGAAGGAGAGATGTAGGAAGTAGCATATATTCTGTTTTTCTGACATGTTTGCACCTGGAAAGAACCACTGAGTTGTGGGGCAGTTCTACCAGACAAGTCATAGTCTAAGTGGAGTAGCAAGTTATAAAAAAATGCTTTGTAGATTGTTGAATGCAAACATTTATATACTGGATATATGAATATATATATATATATCCGTGACGAGCCTGGCACTATTTTGTTTGCTCCTGTTGATTATGTTACGGATATAATAAAAAAAACCCAGGGTCGGAGGGTTGGGCACGCCAGCAAATAGCATTAAATTTCTACACTGCAGTGCTTTACTCTGGTTGTCTTCAAAGTTAATGATGTTAGTTACTTGATTGAATGTTGCTGGCATGCCAACAGCTCTCTTGCCTGTTTCCTTCTTTGTTCTCTTAAAATGTTCTTGACATGGGAAACATGACAGTCTTTCTTCCTTAGAGGGTCAAGTATTCTACTTTTAACATTTAACATGTCCGTCTTCAGTGCACAAAATTCAACACTCTTTACACATCAGAGAAGTGCAAGCAGGTCTGCTAAAAACTTCTGTGGCTTCCTACTTTGAACAAACTCAGGTAGTGGTAATATAGATATAAAAGAAGAAAGATGATCTTCATTAAGATGAGGAAGAATGAGTGTCACAGAAGGAAAGCATTAAAATATGATTTTGGCCTTGAAATTCTGTATACCTTTACTGTTTTGCTCCAGAAGTTACTATGCAATGTGTGATTTATGGGCTCTTACCTGGAATCCCCAAGCGATAACCCGTAGTGAAGTTTGCTTTAAACCCTCCTCTTGCCAACACATTGTTAGTGATGAGAAACACAGTCATTCTATTGGTGGTAGAGAACACATCCTTTACTGGACCAGGCCCTGTGTACACAGCTGTTCCAAAGGAAAATGAGATAATCAGTGAGATGATCCTTTGGATCTAGAAGGAAATGCACCCCGTTCTCAGTTCCACCTGCCAGATGTAGGGCTACATGCAACATGGCTCATTCATATAGCAGCCACAGTAAATGAATGCACACGTTCTTTTACATTTTGAACACTGCTTCAACAAAGCTATCTTCTCTTTAATTTTTTTGATATTGCGGTTTCTTTAGCTCTGTAATTTAATGATGAATTACTTATATCTGGCTTAGTACCACTGCTATTCAAAGTTCATGTTATCCCAAAGAAATGACTGACTACTTATAAAGACCTCTATAAAGCAATGGAGTTTATAGTCACTTTTACCAACTTTTTGACCAAACATAATCAGTATTTCTTGTGTATTGAATCATAAACTACATAAACTACATGGTGACTTTTAAACATTTTCTGCCAAATTCCTTGGCTTTGGGGATTTCATAAACAATAAAACATTCTTTACTATACTTCAGTTAATTAAAAAATACATTCATTAAAAAAAGTTTTACATATTGAAAGCCTTACAAATGATTCTATTTCAAAAGACCTTCCTGCCTACAAATTTTAAACTATAACTCAGAGATCTTTCTGGAATTCTTATTTACTTTTCAATGATTTGTTTAAATATTAACATGTGAATTTATGCATTTTTTTAGATGATAAGAAGTCTGAAATTTTTATTAGAAAAATAATTTGACCTAAAATGAGAAAACTGTTTAAAAATTTTTATATGTGTAGACAAAAACAAATTTCAGATTCCTCAGCTCTTGCCAGCTCTTGCCAACCACATTTTTCATTATTTGCTCTATGGGTGGCTCCCAAAATCCCCTCCAAGCAAGCTCACACTGTAGAACTTTGTGAGATTTTGCTGCAGAATTCCATATAAGGGCTGACTGATGAAAAGGTTGGGGAAGCCTCCCAACCACACTGTCCCTTCATTTGTTCTAGAAAATTTTCTCTGGAGTCTTCATTGATTAGTTGCAGTGTTCATGTGATTGTATCCTGATTGCATATCTATCAGATCAGATTTTACAACGAATGATGAATATAAGTTCAAAGTACCGTTAGATAAAACACTTTTTAGTTGTATCATTTCATTCATCAAAATTAATCATTTGAGCATTTTTATTCAATGTGTGACATCAAAAGACATCTTTTTTCTTAAAAATTAGTAGCAGTTAAGTAATGTATTAGCCATTACGTTTGACTGATAGCTTTTTAGTGTGTCAGCATGTATCCTGTGATCTACAGAATACATCTGATGTACACATAATGCATAGAGAACTACAAAATGGGCATCCTTAGCTTCTAGTCTCCAATGTGTAGTGCTTGTGGTAGTCAATTAATACAGTCTAGCAGAACTGATGGCTCAAAAATATTAGTCCAAAATAGTTGAACTCATGGAGGTAGAGAGTAGAATGTTGGTTATAAGAGGCTGGAAAAGGTACTGGGAAGGGTGGGGGAGTGAGGATGATCACTGGATACAAAATATAGTTAGACAGAATGAATATGATCCAGTATTTGATAGCACAACAGGGTGATCACAGTCAATAATAACTTAATGCACGTTTAAAAATAACTAAACGAGTATAATTGGATTGTAATACAAAGACAGGAAAAATGCTTGAGGTGTTGGATACCCTATTTACACTGATGTGATTATTATGCATTGTAGGCCTATATCAAAATATCTCACATATCCCATAAATATATACATCTACTTACCCATGAAAATTAAAAATGAATTTAAAAAGTAAAAATAATTAGTCTTGCTTTGTGAAGAATGCTAAAAAAAATGTTGTCACTGTTTTAAATATGCCCTATATTGTAAGCTCTACATAAACTCATGTCACTCTATTATTGTATTTTCATTTTGCAAGTTGTAAAATAGGGATCACATTTATTTAGAAGTGCTCTTTCTGGCTGGGTGCGGTGGCTCATGCCTATAATCCCAACACTTTGGGAGGCCGAGGCGGGTGGATCACCTAAGGGCAGAAGTTTGAGACCAGCCTGGCCAACATAGTGAAACCCTGTCTCTACTAGAAATACAAAAATTAGCCAGGTGTGATGGCGCATGCCTGTAATCCCAGCTACTAAAGAGGCTGAGGGAGGAGAATTGATTGAACCTGGGAGGTGGAAGTTGCAGTGAGCAGACATTGAGCTACTGCACTCCAGCTTGGGTGACAGAGAGGACTCTTGTCTCAAAAAAAAAAAAATATTTTTCCCTAAGTACAACTATCTTGAGCTATACAACCTTTATGTTATTCATATTTCAAACTTACCTAAGAACAAGGAATCTGCTTCTCCACCATCTCTTATTTCAACTACATCATTAATATTTTCTAAGTCAAATTCTTGAAAATGAAGTTGTATATTTTTTCCTTTTTGTGCATTTAAAATCCAAACACCTTAAAAGTAAGAAGTAACATTTAATTTGGAACACACTTATGATTTATTTTAAAAGCTTCACTCTCTTGAAGATTTTAAATAACTTTCCAAGAAAAGAAAACAACTTTTTTCCATTTCTTGAAAATAATGGAATCAACATAAGAGTCCATAAATAGATGAAGAGGGAGAGAGAATGATATCTTTGCACAATGAAATATTATGCAGTCATAATAAATAATAAAATCCTGTCATTTGCAATGACACGGATGGACTTGGAGGGCAAGTATTTCAAGCTGTTTCTTTTTCTTTTCTTTTTTTTGGTGAGAAAATATATTGGTTTAGTCAATATCTACAGTAATATTTCAATTAAATTTGAAATTATTTAGTATAATTGATATTTTTATAAAATGTAATGATTTAATCAAAGTTTACAAATATTATTTTACCCCTACAATACAATGTTTATGAATATCAAAAGATACTAAAATTATAGTTTCATTCATTTAATTTTCCATGATCAAATTTAGAAGAAAATTAGGTAATTAAAATGCAATTTTCAGGACAAGTAAGCTTTAATACTTATTTTAAAAGTTTTTGCATTTATTTACATTTAGTTTATTAAAACCAAAGAAAATAAAATGATCAACATCAAGAAACACTCCTTGTTTTTATTGATTTCTTAAATGATTTAACCTTCAGTTTTTTCCTAGGCCATTCTTCTCTCATTATGTATTAGTATTGTCATTCACTCTTAAGAAATATAATTATACTCATATAGTAATGACATCTAAGTCCTTATTTTCTGCACTTTTTTGAGATACAAACAAATGTATCCACTTATTTACTGTATATGGCTGTACATATTTCAAATCTACATGTTCTAAAGGAAAAGCAGAATTATCTCTTTTGCAAACTCATTTCTCTAGTTCTTCCCATCTCAGTGGCATTCCTAATCATCCACTCACAGTTCTCTATGCTTGAAACCTCAGCACCTTCCTTGACCTTCTTTCTCCTAGTGCATCCAGTTAATCACCTAGGCCTGTTAATACTACCTCCTATATCCTTTGAGTCCCGTTTACTTCTTAACAACTTCTTAACTTCTTTTGCCACCACTACCAGAGTTCAGATCACTCCTGTTTCCCATCTCCTAATTGGTGATGCTCATGGTTCTCGTCCCTTACCATCTATCTCTTATTTAAAATGCAAGCTTGATTTTATTACCATTTTCCTGTAAATTATTCGAAGACTCCCCAGTGCTCTCAGAATGAAATTCAAACTTCATAACATGGTGCAAAATTCCTTCACACTTCTAATTTAACCAATTACCATTGTTTAATTTTCTTGGAGATTCAAGAAACAGTTGTCTCCTACTTTTGTATGTCAAGGACACTCCATGTCTCTCCACAGAGTCCTGCCTTTACCCTTATTATAATAGTATTTTGGACATTTTATGCCTGGCAACATATCCGAGTCACCATCTTTACTGTGCTACATTTGTGTCTTCTTTACTTATTTCAGACTAAGGAAATAAAGTATTTAACACATATTTGTTGAATAAACAAATATATTTAACTTTAATAAATTTCTCCAAATTGTTTCCATGTTCTACTGCTTGTTGGATTTTTCAGATTATCACTTTGTTCAAATGATGTTTCAAAGATCCTGCAAGATCTGCACATGTACCTTAGGAAAAATTACAATTAAAATAAAAAAGAAAGCATATCAAAAAAAAAAAAAAGAAAAAGAAATTTACAAGACCACGCAGAACAACTGCTCTTACATGTTCGATGACTACCAAGTGGTGTGAAAGGTAATGCTGTAATAACAAAATGTCAAGAACTGTGCACAACTTTCTTTAACTTACCTCTTCCAAGAATATAGGGAAATGTCAACTTGCACCGTTTAACAGGTATGACTATATCATTGACAATTCCACCCCTAAGCTTAGATTTAACAGGTCTTTCACTCTTACCTAAGAATGTATTATGCTTTTGATACCTAACACTGTGACCACAGATCACTGATGGGTGACCTGTAACTCAATAACCGAATGGAAGATCCTGATATCATTCCCACGGGTCATAATGTATAAAAGGAACACTGACCACTAAGTGCCTGAACATTTTCAAAAGCAGTAAATCATTACTGGTTGCTTCCAATTGTTCCTGAACTTAAATTGCTATTTTCCTTTTCTTTAGAATTATAGTTGTTGCACTTATCATTCCTGGATGAAAGCTTTGCCTTCCACAAAATGTTTAAAAATATTCTTCAGTCAAGGCAATAGTCTTTAATAAATTGCAGCATAATAAGAATAAAAAATTATATGTCTTCAGTGTGAAGCAGAGATAATAATCTATTTCCCCAAATAAGTCAAATTAGATTAGTTACTGTTTATTATTTTGGATCAGGTATCTGTCTACAATATTGACCCTATAGGCACCTATGAAAGTGATGCTCTCTTATCTCTTGATCACCTGAAGGAAGAATGCTGGCATTTTCTGACAACACATTTTTCCTACCATTGGGGCATTTCTTTCATTGATAGAATTCGCCATTTAGCTTAGTGGTCTTATCCGGACTTCTGGAAGTGGAACCTTTGTAGGGTGGGCTAGGGAATCTGTATCTTCAACACAAACTTTACGTGTCTTTATAGGAACCTCTCTATTTAGGAACATTTACATAGAGGTAGTCTTTACGCAGTTTTAGCAAACTATTTTCTCTAGGCAAATTTTTTTAGTGATCCTTCTTATAATTTTAATTTTTGTTCTTGAAATAATTACATTACTGTAGCTATCTGCTTTATTGACTCAAGTGTATATTTGCAAAAAGTGTGAATGCTACAACTGGTTCTTTACTTTTTATGCTTTCCATTGTCTTTTTCCTATGAAACTACAAACTCATTAAGCACACTAAGACATTATAGGCACAAACAAAGAAAGTGATTTAGAAAGTGGGGTGGGGCTCTAGGAAGGGATATCAGGGGGTGGAGTGATAGGAGAGGGATAGCATTAGGAGAAACACCTAATGTAGATGATGGGGTGATGGATGCAGCAAACCACCATGGCACATGTGTACCTATGTAACAAACCTGCACATTCTGCACATGTACCCCAGAACTTAAAGGATAATAATGATAATAATAATAATTCTTAAAACAAAGAAAGCGGTGTCTGGAGTAACACTGGTTCTCTCACTGTTGTTATTCAACTTCTAAATCTGGAATTATAATAATGATACCTGTTTCAAGAAATTCTTGTGGGAATTGAATGAAATAATGTATATTGAGCATTAACACAGTGCCTGGTATGAAATAAATGCTATGTATATTTAGCAATTATTGTTATTTTGTTGTTATATTAAGCAATCTTTTAGGTAGACATGATAGGTATACCTGTGTTTGACAAATTTTTAATCTATGTTTGCTGTGTCAAGGGGAGATCTAAATTTGATATGTACATTTGTTTCTGATGACTTGGAAAAGAAATGACTCACAGAAAGCCTGATTAGGGTAGCTGTTTGGAAAGTTCATAGAAATGAATGTTGTATTTGGCTCCCACAGTTCAAAAGGTCCTCCACAATCCGCTGAAAAGGAAAGCAATGGGAAATCATTAGTAACACAATGTTTATTTCAGAGAGACAATACTATATGCCAGCGAACTTTCAATTACATTTCTTAGAATATAAATTTTGACAAGTAAATTTGAGAGTCATGTAAGGGTAAACATTGCAGTTTGAATACAAGAAAAATACAGTTAAATAGATAACTCTAATGATCAGTGACGCTGGGATTTTCTTATATAATTGTTAGCTGCATCTATGTTATCTTTTGAAAAGTGTCTGTTCACGTCCTTGGCCCACTTGTTATGGGGTTGTTTTTTCTTTTTGTTGGAAATTTAAGTTGGAATTTTTTTTTATAGAAGCTGGATATTGGACCTTTTTCAGATGCGTAATTTGCAAATATACCATCTGACACCAGTCAGAATGGCTATTATTAAAAAGTCAAAAATAACAGATTTTGACGAGTTTGTGGGGAAAAAAGAACATTTATACACTGTTGGTGGGATGTAAATTGGTTAAACTATGTGGAAGACAGAGTAGCAATTTCTAAAAAACCTAAATACAGAAATACCATTTGACCCAAAATTCCACTACTGGCTATGTACCCAAAGGAATATAAATCATTCTATTACAAAGACACATGCACATGTTTGTTCACTGTTCAAAATAGGAAAGACATTGAATCAACATAAATGCCCATCATTGACAGACTAGATAAAGAAAAGGTGGTACATATATACCATGGAAAGCTATGCAGTCATAAAAATAATGACATTTGCAGGGACATGGATGAAATTGGAGACCATTATCCTTAGCAAACTCATACAGGAACAGAAAATCAAATTCTGCAAGTTCTTACTTATAAGTGAAAGCTAAATGATGAGAACACATGGACACATAGAGAGGAACAATACACACTGGGGCTCTTCAGAGGGTGGAGAGTGGTAGGAAGAAGGGGATCAGGAAAAATAACAAATGGGTACTAGGCTTAATACCTGGGTGATAAAATATTCTGTACATTTACCTATGTAACAAACCTGCACTTGTACCTCTGAACTTAAAAGTTAAAATAATTTTTTTTAAAACAGATAAGAATTTCTCAAAATATTTTTAATCTTCTTATGGCCCTTGTGAATCTTCAAGAAAGCATGATAGTGTGCAGCACTTCTCCAAAATTATTTGTACAAAGGAACTTTTTTTGGTCAAATATATTTTATAAATAGGTTTTATAAAATAAGGTGTCAAATTCCTACTGTAGAAAAAAAAGTTTACTTATAATAAAACAAATTCGACATTTACCACTCTCTAAGGAGAAAGGCTAGTAAATCATTTAATTTTGTAATTCTTGATTTTCCCTTTTTTTTCCTTTTATTTATTTGTTTTTTTTGGTAGTCTTAAGGGGAAGCTTCACCATTCTGCATATTGAAAGTAAGGAAAGGGAGATGACGTGAAACCTTATTTGCGTCACAAATGCCCTGGACCAACCTGGTAGCCAACATTGTCAACATTGTGCAGAAGACAAGTTGAGGCAGGTATCTTATTAAGGCAAATTTATTAAAACAATAGAGCACAGATCTTCCAGCTCAGAGTATAACACTTTAAGTAGGTAGATTAACTTTATAAAATTCTTAACATACTTTATATTTATCTTCTGATTTATTACAAATTCTAAAGTAATGTAAAAATCAACTATTTTAAATATTCTAATTATATCTAATTCTTGTTACCATTATTATGTTTTAAAATAAGACCAGAAGAAGAAAAGTAACCTGATTTGAAGAATGCAGACAACTGGAATAAATATATTCTTTTCTATATTAAATGCACATAATATTGGGATTATTTACTCCCAACAAACTAGAAATCAGATTATGGGAGGGATAATCAAGTGTCTCTACATTTATAACACTGTATATAGCCATATCCTTTTCCTTAATCTCTCTTTTATATATCATCTGCTTATTTATATAAATCACCTGAAATTCATGTGCATGTCCAAAATTTATATGTAACACACTCCTTAGATTTGAGTTTCATGATGTATATGATTGATAGGCCAGAGAAGGCAATTACTCTGACTCCAGACAGGATCCTTGCCAACCTGTCCTGTTCTGTAAATAGATAGGGCATGGTCTTGTTTTACATGCCTTACAGGGCCAGGTTTGTCTAGACCCAGATGAACTTTTAGAAGTAATAAAATATTTTACCAAACCTTGCTGTTTGCAAAGCGTTTCCATGCACGTTATCTCATATGGGGAGAGAACACAGTGTATAAGAGGAAGATTTGTTGGAGTTGCTGGATTAAAATTGTGGCTCTGAGTTGGCTGTCTTTTGGAGACTACTAGATATATATTAAGGGTATTTTGGATTGTTGTAAAATTAGAGGTAATTTAAGAAATGTTCCTATGCATTACCTGGCATATTCAGTACTGGTTTTCAAGGCAACCTTGCGGATGAGGTAATTACTTTTATTTTTTCAGTTTTAAATGGAAAATCTAAGGATTACAGATATTCACTTGCTTGTTAATGCCTTATACATCCACCTAGTGTCAAAATCAAAACCTCATCATGGTTAATCTCAAGCTCATCCCAGTACTGTCTCCCATTGGGTCGATTAAACTTTGAATAATTTCTACAAACTGGTCCATGCTGCCATAGACAGGGTTTAAATTGAGTGTCAATAAGTGGCACTTGATATGTACATTTAAAAAAGGAGGACAGAGATGAATACACTGACAGGTAAGGTCAAGGATGGGTAAACCTAGAAGGAAGAAGAGAGTGTGCACGGGGTGGTGAGGAAGGCGTGTGTACCAAAGAAAGAGCAACAATGGAGAATAAGGGCAAGTTCTCCACAGGAAATCATGACTAATTTACAAAGATTTCTGAAGAAGGATCTACCACAATCCTATAACCTCTACATACACGTGGCACAGTTAATTTTAATAATTCTACGTTGCTATGAAATGCTTCTTTTAATCCTTAATGAGACCAATGAAGGAGGTAATAATGTGTAACTAACTGCAGAGACAAATATTACACTGCAGATGTAAGACTAGGAAAACTTAACTTCCTATTTCAAAAATTGAGCGGTGGCCAATGGTGAGTTTTTTAAAAATGATTTTGTATTTTTGTTTTTCACCATTAGTCTTATTTTATCCTCAAGAAACATGAAAAAATGTAAAACCTTATATTCCCGATATAGTAAATAGCTGCCATTTGGAGAATGCATTGGATTTTCACATAATTGAACACTCAGTGTGCTATACTTAAAGATGAGTAGGTAGGATGTTAATGAGCACATAACAAGAACTCAAATGTTGTTGACTGTAATTGTTAAGCCTGTCAGGGCAGGCAGTTTTTTTTTTAGGATTTTTCTACTAAATACAAGTCTTGGAAAATGCATTCCTTTAAAACACTTAAGGACTTTTTGAAATGCATTTAAATTATAATTTCTTATCAAATAAACTGACCAGTAAGACATCTCTGATCCTTGGCCTGATCAAATAGATCAGTTACTCTCTGAATATAAATGACTGTAAAGAATTGGTGAAAACCCTTTAAGTCATTCTAAATATGATAACACAATTTACTTTAATGGTGTTGCTGTAGTGGGGATGTGGCATATGCTTCTAATAGAGAAACCAAAGATTCATGAAATGTAATTCCAGATATCACAGTCATGCTGTGCCCTTAGGTAAAACATCCTTACCCAGAGAATGAGAGTAAAATAGCCTGTCTGATACATGGAATTCTATTCATTTATACTGCTAAATTCCTTCATGTTTCTTTTTATGGGAGCTATTCTCTCAAACACTTGTGTTTTGATAAATTTTTTACTATGCCAATAGGGATTTTCACTGCACATACTATGTAAATTATATGCAGTATTTGGCAAAGTGGTTGTCAGGAATGGATATTTTTCTTGACGCATGTCATTTTTAGTTCATGCTTAAGCTTCTGATGTCCATGAAATATGTGTTAATGCAGAGGTGTTTACTGTGGAGTGGAAAGGAGAAGAGCCTGGCTTTCACCTACAATAAGAGGGTTCCAATTAAAGATATTTATGGCAAAACAAGAAATGAGAACATGGGAAAAATAGATTCTTGATTGATACTTTATGTGATAGAATTAATAGGTGTAGCTTGAGAAATAATATCTCCTATTGATTGATGTTTGAATATGTAAAAATTGACTAATTTTTTAAATTATTGAAAATTAATTAAAGTGGCTGTTTTTCATCATCATTGTAATAGATAAGCAAATATTTTGGTATTACAAATAGCACTTTAAAAGTCTAGGTTGTAATTTAAAATAAAATCTTCCATAAACATTTTGTGTTCATTTTATCAAATTTTGTTTTTCATTAACAAATTATAGTGACCATTCCTGATACAAATATTTTTATTTGTTAACAATATTGTTAAATGTGTAACAATATTGTTACACATTTTAACTTTATTGTTAAATGTGTAACAATAAAGTCCAGATTTTCATTCCCTGTACTCTAAATTTGGTTATTAATAAAAATCTAGACAGATGATAAGCTCCAAGACATAAGCTATTTGTTTTGTTTTGTTTTGAGATTGAGTCTTACTCTGTTGCCCAGACTGGAGTGCTGTGGCTATTCACAGGCATGATCATAGTGCACCCCAGCTTTGGACTCTGGGCCTCAAAGCATCATCCTGACTTAGGCTTCTGAGTAGCTTGGACTACAGGTGGGTGCCACTGTGCCTGGCTCAGGCTATTAGTTTTAGAGGTAAAATAATTAAAAAAAAAATTAAAACAGCTCAAAACACACTGATACAAGTATATATGCATGCAGTTAATATGGAATTTGCTCAGGCTTGACTATAAGTCATACTAATGATATAGAAAGCAAGCAGCTCTTCTGCTGAATATGGCCATCAATTTCAAGAGAGGGAGACAGGTACTGATTGAGTCATATCTACATGAAGAACTGAACTTAGATTATTTAGCTCTAAGTATAAGGTCACATCGACAAAACTTTCCAAATTAACTTTTTTTTTTTTTCTTTTAAGAGAGACGGGGTTTTGCCATGTTGGCAAGGCTAATCTTAAATTTTTGGCCTGAACTGATCTGCCCCACTCGGCCTCCCAAACTGCGGGGACTACAGGCATGAGGTACTGGAGCTGGCCATGCAAAATTACCTTTAATTTACATTTGGAAGCAGAAAATAGCTTTAGAAACGACAAAATAAAGAAAAGCTATGGAAATAAAGAGTGAATATTGAAATATCTAATATTATAGTTAGTTTTTTTTATTGTTGTTGCTTGTTTTTAATTAGTTTTAACATCACCAGAAATAAGCCAGGGGCCTAAAATGTGGATTTCGTTTTGTATACACCCATTTCTATTCAGTAGGCATCTTTTCATGAATCATCAAAATTGTTTGGCAAATTGGCATGATAGTCGTGTAATGGAATGTTTACTCTCTTAAAGTGTACCCAGTGCAATTCCCATATTTAAATTCATTTATACTAACGTCACAGAGTAACAATTGCAGAATTGATGCAGCAGGAAGTTATTAAAGTCATGATATGGAAGAATCTCTGTGGTTATGAAAACTGAACTTACATTTCCTCAAACTAGGCATAATGTGGGTCCCTAGGAAAGAGGGAGGAAACTGAGCTTTATTATCCAGTCACTGGTCTGGTATTGTTTTCTTCTTTAAGTGCTCTATATAAACCCAAAGAAAGGCTATTAGCCAGTCAGCCATGGTTTCCTTTTATTTCTGCTTAAACAAGTCAGTGATCTGAAACCACAAAAGCTCTGCTCAAATAAGAATTTCACTGAACCAATTGCAAATGGTATTAGAATAAAACTGTTCAGAATACATTTGACGGTAATTAACATTTTCTGCTGTGAAAAATATTATCTTGAAGTGAACCGTTTGGAAACTGGAACAAATAAACTCTGGGTAGATTCTGAAGTTTATATTTTCAAATCAGAGGGATTATTCTTTCATTATACCCTATTGTTAAAAGACAGGAACACCAAACTCTCTTGACATCAAGGTGTTATCTTTTTCAGACTGGAATATAAATATGAAGACTATATGGATCTTATAGGTAGATTTTTAACTTAGAAAACCATATTTAAAATTTTCTTTCTTTGTATGATATGATATAAAATGTTATCTCAAATTTTAATTTTAGGTAGTGATAAGATGTTGCTATGTTTTAAATATCAGGTCTAAGAAACCGTGTTATTTCCTCCTAGAAAATTTTTCTTCTTTATTATTTATGAATAAATAGAGGAACAGACTAGCAGAAAGAATTATCAAGAAAATCTATCATTTAAATGATCGAAGTAGCAAAATGTTGCTAATATTTGGTATCTGCAGGAATTATTATTATTTATCAAACCAGCATGATTTTAATGATGCCGAATGTTGTTCTTGCAAAACACTGTTCTATGTGATAAACAGGTAGGGTGTAGGTCGTCTACACAAAATGAAGTGAGACAATTATTTTCAAAGTCACAAATCCAAAATTACAGCATTTATGTTGGTATTTTTTCTAAATCCATCCCTACCACCATTTCCAAGCTTTAGTTTTTGTGCCAAAATTTTGTTTAGCACAAATTTCATGTCACCAAAATAAGAGTACATCCAAAACAGAGACAGAGAGAGAGAAAGAGAGACAGAGAGAGAGAGAGAGAAATAGAGAAAGAAGGAGAGAGGAGTTTGAAGTTTAGTCTATTTCTAATAGTGCTTGCTTATCACCAATTTATGTGATGTTAGGTATCAGTCATACACTGGTAAAGCAAAGGTAAATTAGACCTAGAGTTTGCTGTGAAGGAACTCACTTCTTGCCACAATTTTATGACCAATATTATTACATGAGAATGTATGGTATTTTTCTGCTTTTGCTTCAATTTTATAAGTATCATTTCACTTTTTTTATCTGCACACTTCCTTAAAGCCTTCTGCTCACATTTTTTTCCTCCAAAGTCCTCTATCACTCACTTCTCTCATATATTACTTTCAGGCTCACATAATTATACATTGCTTTAAATATTTATTCATATGATGTTTTCATGTATTAATAGTTATTGCTGCATCTTACATTTCATCTGCAGTGTTTTACAGATGGCAGATATTTATAAAATTTCAATGAATGTTTAAAGATTGAGTAATTTATACATCACTCAACTAAACATCTAAACATGTTAACACACAAGATGGTAAAAGCTAACCAGTCTTTTAGTGGAATGTAAGTACTCATTCGATATGGTGGCCTGGGACCAATATGACAAAATAACTATCTTCATCCTAATGGGAGCTCATTTGTTTCATGTTCTCAAATACCCATGATTAATTGTTAGAGTCTTTTCATTGTTAAAGCCACTCATCTGAAAAGTCTGCTTTTTTTTTTCGTTTACTTGAAGATTAGGAGCAGAAAAATATATACTTTAGAAGTAAACCAAATTTGGATAGGCTCTCCAAACTGATTTGCTGATGTAAATTTGGTAAAAGTATTAAGTGTGCTTGGACGAAAATGAGAAATGGAAAAAGTACTGTGTTTGTGGGATCAGATCCAGGACAAAACAAGACATACATGGGTTTTCACCCAAGCCAAGCTGGAGACCTAAATCAGCTTCCAACAACCACAATCCAAAGACAAAGGCATTGCTTTTTGCATAAATACAACAGTGTAGTGAAAAAATCCCTATAGAAAGTAAATGGATGTTTATTATTTATTATCATAGGTATTTTTCTTTTTCTTTGTTTTTCTGTCAAACCCCTAATCTGAAAGTAGTAAGAAGTGAGTATCTTCTTTGACATGGATAATTTGAATGGTAATGGGTTTTGTTATGAAATGTCATTCTTCCAATCTGATTTGAGAGCATAAGTAGGCATAGATTCTATTTGGTTCTTTTGAGTTAAAAGATCTTATAGGACATTGTGAATCGTGATCACTTCTCAGCAATAACACGAGTGGCTCCATGAAGGGAACATATTCCAAAGCCTTACAAAGGTACTGTGATAGTTAATATTGAGTGCCAACTTGACTGGATTGAAGGATGGAAAGTATTATTCCTGGGTGTGTATGTGAGGGTGTTGCCATAGAGATTAACATTTCAATCTGTGGACCAGGAAAGGCAGATCCTCTCTCAGTCTAGGTAGGCACCATCTAATGAGCTGCTAACATAGCTAGAATAAAAGCAGGCAGGAGAATGTGGAAGGACTATACTGGCTGAGTTTTCCAGCCTTCATCTTTTTCCCATGCTGGATGCTTCTTGCCCTCAAACACTGCACTCCAAGTTCTTCAGCTTTTGGGCTCTTGGACCTATACCAGTGGTTGCCAGAGGCTCTCAGGCCTTTGGCCACAGACTGAAGGCTGCATGATCACCTTCCCTACTTTAGAGGTTTTGGGACTTGGACTGGGTTTTTTGCTCCTCACTTTGCAGATGGCCTATTGTGGGACTTCACCTGTGATCATGTGAGTCAATATTCCTTAAAAATTCACTTTCATATATACATCTATCCTATTAGTTCTGTCCCTCTAGAGAACCCTGACTAATACAGGTACTATTTAGGACAAAAATATTTTGGGTGATATGGGTCTGTATGTTCAAAGTCCAGGCTTGATTGGTCATTGTTATTAGATTATTTAAAAATAGACTTAGTTAAGACTGCAGTGGCTTTCAGACTTAAATAAACTCTCAAAATTACTCCGTAAGAAGGCCACAAAAACCTCAAGCCTCCCTCCTCAGACACTACAGATCATGCCACATGGCCAATACAACATTTGAAAATTGTATTCCAGTGAAAGCAAAATGGAAACCAGCACTTTTATTACATTCAGAAATAAAAAGATACTAAAATGATCATTAATATGCTCCAAAACAAAGTATTGAGTGATTTTCATTGTGGATTTATGTGTAACATGTACTATTTTGCTAGCCTCCGTTTGGCTTATATTTTAAAGACCTTGATTTTGAGGAAAAAGAATAACAGTACATTGAGATAATGAAAATAAGCCAAAGGAAGATCTACCTGAAAATAATTAGTGTGTGTGTGTGTGTGTGTGTGTGTGTGTGTGTGTGTGTGTGTTTTCTTTTTTTATTTTTTTTTTTTGAGACGGAGTTTCGCTCTTGTTGCCCAGGCTAGAGTGCCATGGTGCGATCTCGGCTCACCGCAACCTCCGCCTCCTGGGTTCAGGCAATTCTCCTGCCTCAGCCTCCTGAGTAGCTGGGATTACAGGCACGTGCCACCATGCCCAGCTAATTTTTTGTATTTTTAGTAGAGACGGGGTTTCACCATGTTGACCAGGATGGTCTCGATCTCTTGACCTCGTGATCCACCCGCCTCAGCCTCCCAAAGTGCTGGGCGCGGTGGCTCAAGCCTGTGTGTGTGTGTTTTCTAGAGACAGAGTCTTACTCTGTTGCCCAGGCTGGAGTGCAGTGGCATGATCACAGCTCACAACAGAATCTGTCAGGTTCAATAGGCCCTCCCTCCTGCCTCAGCCTCTCTAATAGCTGGGAATATAGGCATGTGCCACTATGTCCAGCTAATTTTTGCTTGTTTGTTTTGTTTTGTAGAGTCAGAGTCTCGCTATATTCTACAGGCTAGTCTTAAACTTGTGGCTTCAAGCAATCCTCCTGCTTCCACCTCCCAAAGTGCTGGAATTATAGCTGTAAGCCTCCACAGCTGACATTAATTGTTTAATAAGACAAATTACACATGAAGGTTACTTACTAGGAAGTTCTGGTGGAGGAGTTGGGACCAAAGTTGGTTCTGGATAAAGACTCTCATTGCAAATCCCATATGTTAGGCTAATGTCATCCAATGCTATGTCACTCAGGATCTTGTTTTTAAAAGCATTAAAAGCAACCTGCAATTCAGAGAGTCATATGAAACGATTTGAGTCCATTCTAATCTTCTCTGACTTGATTCTTCCTGTGGGCCCAATGCCCTCTAGAGAATCAATATTGTCACCTCTAACTACATTGACAGAGCATGCTTTTTAAATCCTTCTGCTGAATACAACACTTTTATTATGTATTCATGCTGGCTAAATTTCCAATGGTGTCTTCCTTCTGAGTTAGGCAGTATTGTTACAGTTTCTGTCTCTCTGTCTGTCTCTGCCTCTCTTATGATATTGTCATACTCCATTGTAATCTGTCATGCATACATATCATCTGGCAGGGGAAAGCAATTTTCTCCCAAATTTCTTCTTTGTGCAATATTAAACATTCAGGTGGCTTTCTGCCTTCTTAGAGCATACAAGGCTGAAGAGAAAACACACAGCTTAGATAATTTACATGAAGATGGAGGGGACAAGAGAAAAGTATGAGTGTAAAATGGTCATTCAGGGCCAGCTGTTACTGGTCACAGTTCACCCAGGGTGTTGATATGGAATATTTTGTAAAGATGACGCCCAGAGGACACAGAGCCATACTCTTCGAAGAAAGGTCCAGAGGTCAGAGGTAACATATTAGGTTCTCAGGGACAGTGGGTATTTTAGCTGTACTTTCCTGGCCCTGTGCTATGCAGGAGAAGAAAGACATAAATTGAATGTCTGCTGTATGCTAATTGCTATGCAAGGCACATGGTATATATACATTTATCCTATTTAATTTTCAACATTCATTTATTCACTCATTTGTTTATTCATTCCACCTCCTTCATGCCAGACAGTATTCTAAGTATTGTTTTCTTCCTTACACATATGGCCTAATTACATTTCAAGGAGACTATGGTGACCTGCTCATGATTTCACAACAAAATGGCAAAGCCAAAGTGCATGCATTTGTAGAAGCTGACACTTTTGCACCACCTGATGAGCTGTGAGAAAATGGATCCAATTATACCACCTTAGAAAAGATATTCAGTGAGTGTAGCCAAGTTTGGTCACTGCAACACTGACTTCCCCACTTTTGCTTTTTCTTTGTTCCCTGGCCATTCCATTTTCCCTTGCTCTTTTTTGAATTACCAGAAAACAAAATTGGAGAAGAAACGTCCTATAAAAGGATCAAATCAGAAGGAAGAGGGAAAAAGAAGAGAAGGAAAGAAAGAAAGACGGGAGGCACACAATTGACAATCATTAATTATTGCCTACCTTACACCAAATCATGGGGAAAATCTGAAGCCTTTGATGATGGTAGTGTCTCTCCAAATATACATCGTCCGAAAGTGATACTGTCTTCTTTGAAATTACCCATTTAAAACATTATTAATTTGGTCAAACTAATAACCTCTATTATGCCATATTTTAATTGCAAAGACCCTCAGGAAGAGAACACATTACAGTGTTATTTGAAAAATTAATTCACCTTAATGTGAAATAAATGATCAGAGACTTCCCAATGATACAGCTCATAGACTTTGTTTCTAAAGGAAATATGTGGAGGTTAAATCAGAGTTGGGCAGAGTGGGTGGATGCTGATGAGCATAGACATAGAAATGGGCAGGGCTGACCTAGGTGGCATTTGTGAAGAGCTGAAAATTGTAGGTAGGCAGAGGACGTAGATATAAATGGTTGGCCTATGCTGGAAAGTTGCTGAAGGAAGCTGAAATACTCTAAAAGGCTTCAATATATTTTATGGACCATTATAAGCTGGATTTTCATTAGTACATTGTTCCTCAATAATGGTTTTTAATAAGCTAACAAATAAATGAAAAAATACTCAAAGATAAGATATGAAGTAGGTTGGGCAAGTAGAAAAAGTGAGTTGATTATTTTCAGAAAACAAATTATTTTTTTTTCACTGCATTCTAAATATAATTGTATTATCACAAAAAGTATACAAATTTAAATGACAAAATGCTTTGCAAACCTTAAATTTAACTGTTTCATTTAGTGTTACTTGTCCATAATTCCAATTTTCTCCATAGTTTCCTTCCTTTTGGAAGATTGTCTTCTCCATATTTTGGTCATTGCTGATATTAATGCTTAATTTATAGACATTTTCACCATACATGTAATACCTAGTTTGGAAACAAGCAAAAATGTTTGAATTCCTACTGCACTGGAATAAGTCAATTTCAGAGCTTTTATAAATTCTTTACTTTCTTTGAAACACCCTTTTCCTCCGGGGTTTTGGAGTTGCTGGGGATGCGGAGGGGAGCCTATCAATGTTTTGTTGCTTGCCAACTGGGGAAGTCATAGTATATGCATTAAAACTTTAGCCAACATTTTAGTGAAATATGAGTCTGGTGGCATTAGCAACGCAATGTTACCCGTTAATAAGACAGGATTTAAACAGGTATCTACAACATACCAGAAGCTAAGGCAAGCCGGTCCTAAAGTGGGGTCCAAAGGGAGGCTTAAAAGTCCCACTTGTTCTTGTCTCCCTCCTGGTCCAGTTGGGGTAGAAATGTAAAATCCTAGAAAAATAACAAAAGAAGTTTTATTTCTCTTAAGTATTGAATTTTCATTGTGTGACATGGAGACTTTGTAAGCAGGATAGAAAAACTTTAAGATGAAAGGATAAGGAAACATATTTTGATATAGTGGTCAGGACACTAGACTGGAGCTCAAAAAGCAGCATTTTGCCATAACAGATTGTTATTGACAAACATAGCTTAACACTGGGCCTCCCACTTTATTAAACAAGAGCCTTGAAGTAGAGTCACCAAGGATATATAAAATTCTGACTTATTATGAGTCACTAAATTATCTAGTTCAATTCCTGACTTCATTCTTGTTTACTAGACATTTTGATTAATTCACATCTTTAGAGACAATCAGTAAATGAGGATATTTAGACATGCTGGTGGGCTAACTCAGAATACACACACATATTTAAATACAAATTTAAAAGTTTCTAAGACTTTCAGTTTTATATTTCACTGAACACTTCATATCTCCAAATAAAAACTTGCCTTATTTTAAAAGTCTTATCTTCCTTTATTCCTTTGAATGATAACTAATCACGTCACCGAGGAGCAGGAAGCATGCTAATCTGTATTAAAGCTTTAAAAATAGCACAAGCCACTGCATAAAGTGCTTTCTGGTCTAAAATTCATTATTCCAACCAGTGATTTCAGTCATTTGAAGTTTGTGAAGAGTTGTTGGGATAACGGCATCTTGAACATTGTCTAAGGGGAATTTATTTTATTCTTAGTTTGCTGCTCACATATTATGACAGGAAGCAAGAATCATGCAACAAAATATTACATAAAGCAAATACATTGTTGAGTTAATCTATTTTGATTGGAACGCAATTTTTTATGAGATGCTGAAATTTAGTGTTTACTTGAAATCAACCATCTTCTCCCTTGTGCTTTCCAACAGAAAAATGTAGTCAATGTTGCATAGAAGCTTTAAACTCACTCATTTATAAGATGCAAACAAAGTAAGAACAAGGCATAAAGGAAAGAAGCTAGTGGAACTGCCTGTAGATATATCAATGCATATTTAGACCAATGAAGGGAAAATTATTGAGTGTTCTATCAAGGTGGAATTACGGACAAGTGGCTTAATAAATGTAATATGTATACATTCTTTGCTTTAGATGACAAACTGTAAAATAATAATGTGTTTAACATTTTATATTATCAACACATTACTCCTATTTTATGTAATGCTGTAATATTTCATGAGTACATATCTTAGCTATTTTGTTAGTGTTCTAATTATATGACTGAATGGAGAAGAGTGGCTTAGATATAGAAAAGAGGTCCCAGAATCCACTCTCTAAATGTGTAACTCCAAATCCCTTTTGAATTTACCTTACTTCTGATTACTTAGAACATAGTTGGGGAAGAAGTAATTAAAATACTACTGAATATCATGAATAAATACTCAAATGGTTAGTCTATTCAGAAATACTCCTAATTAGCTACAATTATAAAAACACACATTATCTCCTATTTATGTTTGGCCATGTTCACAGTCAATAGTTACAAATAATTCGAAAGATTTTGAATCTGTTTTTCACTTATTAAGCAGTGATATATTTGGAGTTTTCAGTATGATCAAAATATGACACTATGAGTTTTTTTTTTTTGTCAGTGATCACGTAAAACATGATTAATTATGTAGACTATAGTACCTTATAAATTTTTCCTAGAGTAAATATCATATAGAATAGCATATTATTGAATATAGTAAAATAATATATAGCATTAAATTACTATTTAGTGATATCAGCTAAATTCTTTAGTTAACAAATTAGAAGATAAAATCCTTTATAAAATGCTAAAGTTTAAGAGTAGAGATTTGTAGTTACATAAAAATGTACTTAGTCTAACCACTAATTGTCCTTAAATTTCATCTATGACATTTTGCCTAAAGAGATCACTTGCCAGATGCAGAAGAAATTATTGGATTCCAAGGTAGCCCATTCCATTTCAACATGATTAGAAAATTATTTTTCTTTTTACAAATAAGCTTATATACCCCTATTATATCTAATTTTGCCTTGTGGGACTATTTACAATATGACATATTTGTTAGCTCTACAAAAGTTTAAAGGCCACTATTATATCTCTCTTAAATTTTCTCAAGATGATCTATCATTTTTTTTCCTTAAATAATTTAAATAAGGCACAGTTTCAGTTTGCCTTTTAATTTGAGAAGCTGTCAATAAGTTGCACATTCAGTTTGCTTCCATTTAAAGTATGGAACTCACATTCACACAGCATGTCTGTTGGCTTATCTCACGGGGGGCAGAGTAGTAACATGGAATAGTTCCCAACATATGGAACTATTATTACTGAAGACAGACCATCGTTGTCACTACTTCCAAGGGCAACTCACTTCTAGTTCTCTGACTCTTCATGGGAATCATCTCTTACACCATTGCTCAATAATGCTTTCTTATGCACAAATTGGCCCATTATTCAAGATCTTTTATTATTTCTTTATTTCTTATTAAATCAAATACAAATACAGTCTGATGTTTGAGGCCCCCGTCTTATGACCTTAATGACATTTTCCAGCCATTGCGTTTGTAATTTATCTATTTACATACAGCACTTCTGCAATATTAGATAATTTTAATATTTCCAAACACCTAGAAATTTTTTGACACTTTGGGTCTTCTTTTTCGTTTGCTTTTATGTCCTTCCACTTCCTCTTCCAATTGTATCTTGTTGAAATCCTACCAATTTTTTGAGGTCATTTAAATCAAATTGTCATCTCCTTCAGAAAGCCCCCCAATTAAAAGTGACTATTTCTTTTGAATTCTCAGTGGCACTTTGTACTTCTTTGGTGTCATTCGGTATATTCTGTTGTGCAATATATATATATATATTTTTTTTCTTTCTTTCTTTTTCTTTTTTTGAGATGGAGTTTCACTCTGTCATTCAGGCTGGAGTGCAGTGGTGCAGTCTTAGTTCACTGCAACCTCTGCCCCCTGTGGGTTCAAGTGATCTTCTGCCTCAGCCTCCTGAGTAGCTGGGACTACAGGCTCAACCCATCATGGCTGGCTAAGTTTTGTATTTTTATTAGAGATGGTTTCACCATGTTGACCAGGCTGATCCCAAACTCTTGATCTCAGGTGATCTGCCTGCTTTTGCCTCCCAAAGTGTTGGAATTACAGGTGTGGGCCACTGCACCCAGCCTGTTGTATATTTTATTTATGTTTGTATGTGACTTTTTAAACTTGCTAGAACTTTTGGGAACAAGAAAAGATAGCTCATTCATTTTTTGTCTCAATATGAATTAGATGTCTATTGTTTAATATATTTTTGTTACAGACTTGCTCTGCTTTTAAATTTATTAAATTTCTACAAAAAAAGAAATAATTAAAGAGATATTTCTCATAACCATACGGGAATTTATATGGTGAAAAATAATTTCTTTTAAAATCTTTCAACATCCTTGAAATGTCTTCTAGAGCTCTTAGAATGAATCTCAGTCAGCTTAAAACCCAGGATATTGGCCAGCCACAGTGTCTCACTTCTGTAATCTCAGCAATTTGGGAGTCCAGGGCAGAAAGATCACTTGAAGCCAGGAGTTTGACAACATAGCGAGGCCACATCTCTACAAAAAATTTTTAAAAAAATTGCTGGGTCTGGTAGTATGCAACTGTGATCCCAGGCTCAGGTGGCAGTATCTCTTGAATTCAGGAGTTTGAGGCTATAGTGAACTATGATTGTGCCACTGTACTCCAGCCTGGGAAACAAAGTGATCTTGTCTATAAATAAATAAATAAATAAACCCCAGGAAATTGAATACATTTTGTTATCTTAAGCATACAACGAATCTCTTTTTTGAACTATCAAGTTTTTCTTAAAACTTATTTCCATCACTTTTTCCTGCTTATTTCCTCATGAATTGAACCTAACCTCTCTCCACCCAACATCCCAATTAAAAAGCAAAACTTCAAAAGATTGTTTATGGAGTGTGATGACCTCAACTGAGTCTGTGGGATCATCACTGGAATGAGAGTGGAGGATGTAGAGATGAGAGGGGTCATGTACCTTTGTCAGAGAATGGTGCCATGTAGCGGTCATAGAGGGAGTCTTCAGAAAACCCTCCAACACTCTCTCAGAAACTGTGAAAAGACCTGCATTCTGCACCTGCTGTCACTGAGGATGCATATAGATTATAACAGCACCAGAAAAGGAAGACAATGGTTTTTGTCTTTAACTTCTTGTCTGACAATTACCTCCCACCCACAAGACCCTGGAAGTGTGAGTACCAGGTCAAATAGGGAAAAAAGGAGAAAAGATCAGCAAACCTTCTCAGACCACAGATCTGGCCTGAGCAGATGGGAATGGGGAGTAAGTCAGTGGTGGTGGTGGTGCAGGGAAGACACAGAATTAGATAGGATATTAATATTCTGATTTAGACTGGAGTTTTAGAAGTGTGGCTAGTCTTAAAAACTGTAACTTTTTAAACAACTATAATATTTGCTCATGATGTTGCCAAGAAGTAGATAAGGGTGATCCAACATACTGCTTAAGGGCAGTAGTAAGAGAAACACAAAGCCGTGAAAACCACTAAACTCAGACAATAACAATAATAGTGACAACCAATAAAAGTAATCACTAACTTTCAAAAAAAAAAAAAAAGCAAAACTTCTGAGCATGTGCTGATGCTGATATAGAGATGGCAGAAACTGGAGAGATGGTAGAACTTCCTGAGAACCTGGAGATCCCTCTCGAGAAGGAAAAAGGCTGACAAATTGTTTCATGATTTGTTAGTACATATGTAAAATTAACTGAACACAGTAAATATTATTGAAAGATTAGATTGATGCATAGCCCAAATTCAGCTAGATTCTATCAATTTTAGATAGTAATATTAGTTTGTAAAATTCAACATCACAGGAAACACAAGAAAACAAAAATATTATTTTTAAAGCATTAAAGTTACACTTATTTCAGGAAAAGGTTATATGCTAAATTAAATAAAGATATCTAAAAGAACTAATATAATTTTGAAAGTTGAGCAGAGTAACTATTTTCCTCCCCAACATATGACTTAGAACAGTATCACAGCTAATTTATGTCTCTTGAATAGTTTTGTGGAATGAAAAGAAAGTAATTTTAATACCTAACATTTATGTAGCACTTCCTATGTGCCAGGTATTTTTCTGAGTTTTTTCTAAACATAACAATCAACTTAATGTTTATTACATGCCTCTAATGGCAGGTCCTGTTGTCATCAACCCCACTTTCCAGATAAGGAAACTGAGGCAGAAAGAGAAGTTAGGAAACTTGCCTAAATGGCAGGGCTGAGATTTAAAACTGGCTGAGACTCCAGAGTCTGTATTTTAATGGTTTTTACTACTAAACTATACTACCTCCCACAGGAATCCAAACAACTGCAATTTCTTTGAGCTATGTCCACATTACCAACCTCATTTTTCCTGAGACTTCGGAACAAATGGGCCACTTTTGAGCACCTCAAGATGCTGCCCTGCTTCAACACCACCTTCTCCACCAATTCCCTTTCTTCTATGAGGTACAGAGAAACCCTGACTGTCAACACTGCAGAGATTTAGAAGCCATTGCTCCACCAGGAGAGAGTTCTTCAGGTGGACTAGAAAGGTAAGTCTTAGGTGTTCTTATCTAAGGCAGTATTAATTCAAAGTTTATCTGTTTCATTTAGTCTTTCTTGTCACTTAAAGTAAAGGCAAAGAACAAAACAACAACACAAACAGCAAACCTGCCTGGATAAGAGGAACATCAAGAGAGATTTAATCCTCTTTTATTTAAGAGATAGGATGTTCTGACACATAAAAAAGGCAGGCTAGAATAAAAACACCCTTTGGAGAGGAATGACTGGTAGATTATGAAATCACAGGTATGAGAGTTGGAGAGGACCTATTAAGCCCTATTATCTGTCCTCATTATATGACTCGTCTAATTTTAAATAACTCCTGCTACTCCACTTTCTCCCGAGACCTCATTTTAGACCCAAGTATTTAAAACCTCCACTTGACATTCAACCTGTTTCACTTTGGTCAGTTTCATCTTATTTCCCTAGTTATTTAATCTGTTGTCAATCTGAAACCATTTTCTCCTGTAATGTACTTATACTCTTCAAATATCAGTGGAATTATTTTATCTCTTATTAGGATGACATAAAAGTCGAAAAATGATAATTTGAACATCAAAGATTTCAACTACATAAAAGGTATCTGTCACAGTCAATAGATACAAATGCTTTTTGCGCTTTCCTCTAACCGCTCTTTTCCTAGTAGAAACTTTTTTATTATGGTAAAGAGAAAAACAAAGATAGATTATTTGACCATTTTAGGCCAGACCCCTTCAGAGGCTTGGGGTGATTATCACAGAGGGGTTAGTTTTCAGCTGTGCAATTAGTCATTTTTCCATGGAGAATCAGGCTCTGGGAAATAACTTCTTCAAAGAAGATGAATTATGTATGAGAGTATTCATATCTTCAATACTAAACATTTTTGTCTTATGGAAGTGGCCATTTACATAGAGCACATATTTTATGTGAAGGCTCACTCTGGTGACTCATTTAGCTGGGTCCTGTCAGTTTCAGTTAAAAAATATATCCAGAATCTGACCTTTTCTTACTACCTCACTCCCACTGATCTGAGTCTCATGACCTCTGCTCTGGTTAGGCAATGGCCATCTGCCAGTCTCTTTTCAATACTCTTGCCCTCCCACAAACTACCTTCCAATATTCATGTTCCCTCTGCCTGGAATAATCTGTGTGGCTAATTCTTACAATTCCTTCAAATTTTGATTCAAGAGTCACTTTTTCCATGAGACTTACTGATCATCCTCTTTTAACTTGCAATAATGTCTCAGCCCCTGCCCTCCCCACCCTCTTACACACCTTCACATTTTCCCAAAGCACTTATTCACATTTAACACACCAAGAAACAATTAATGACTATTTTCTGTTTTTTCTTGCTAGAATTTGTGTTTCATGAAAGCAGAAAATCTGGTTTATTTTGTTCACAGATATATTCTGAATGACTTGAATAAGGCCTGGAGCTCAATAAACACTCCTTAAATAAAAGAACAAAATAATACACTTGAAGGGGTTTTTACTGATGACTCTGAAATAGATTAAAAGTAGTCACTTTTTATTAAAAACTATTTTTATTAAGTTAAAATAGTGTGATGAACCATATTTTGATATTCTAGGGATGCCATTGTCTAAAGAAGTAGGAAGAGTCAGATATATTTTTATCTTGAAAAAATTAACTCTTTAAAGTCCTTTAACTAAATGTCACTCACAATTGATATTAAATCAACCACCTACTTTTCAGGTCCTGAAAAGAAGAATATTCATCTCTGTAATAGAAGTGGCCATCAATAACAAATTACAATGCCAATGTGCTTAGAGTTTTTATTTACTTTAGAGACCATTTTATTCAGCCAGTAATTTTCCAGAAATCACTTGCATCAAAGTTGTAGATATTTATTTGCATATTCAAAAATAGTTTTGTATGTTAATTAGATTCATGCACTGAGAATGTCTGATATGATTTGGCTCTGTGTCCCCAACCAAATCTCATCTCCAATTGTAATTTCCATAATCCCCATGTGTTGAGGGTGGGACCTGGTGGGAGTGATGGGATCATAGGGGCAATTTCTCCAATGCTGTTCTTATGATGATGAGTTCCCACAAGATCTGATGGTTTTATATATGTTTGGTATTTCTTCCTACACACTCTCACTGTCTCTTGCCTGCTGCTGTGTAAGACGTGTCTGCATTGCCTCCTGTCATGATTGCAAGTTTCCTCAGGCCTCACCAGCCATGCATAACTGTCAGTCAATTAAACCTCTTTTCTTTATAAATTATCCAGTCTTGGGTATTTCTTTATGGCAGTGTGAAAATGGACTAATACATGTCCTAGAAATTCAAAGATAAAAGAGAGTAGGTTTTTGTTCCTGAAAAGAATATTGTGGTACAAAGAAACAAATAAGTGAGTAAATATAATGCTACGTGATAGAAAAAACAGAAGAGGTAATTAGAATATTTAAGGGAAAAAAAGATTTGAATTTGGAAGTTTTTGGACAGACTTTGTGGAAGTGATTGTGTGACCTGTATCTTTAATGCCTAGAACCACAGCTGGTTAGAGTTGGCCTTTAATGTTTATTTGTTTGAACAGAATAGTGTTCTCATCAGTAATCTATCAGCAAGTCATATTATGAGATGAATTTTGCATCAGAAAATTACATAAATGCTCAAATTGTCACTCTGTTTTCTTTTGCAATTTTCTTTATGCTTTCCTTCTAAGATTTGTAACTCTCATTTCAATGATTATATTTGGTATTATGAATATGTTTTCCAATAATTTCATGACTGATCTTCCCACTACAAGTTCTTTACCTTCTAATATTTCACCATGATTTCTGGTTTCTCAGCAAAATATTATTGCCTCTAATATTTCCACGTGGCATCTATTTCTAATATCTCATTCAGATGAAAAATGTACTTACAAATTATAACTCTATCCTATCACCATGGTTTACAATCAGACTTCCATAGGGCTTCCCAAAGAAGCAAATCTATCTTTGTTTCACAATTATGCAATCTTGTATGTTGGAAATGCTAAGGAATTCTTCAAAGGAACATCAAAGCTAACAAACAAATTCAGCAAGGCTACTGCTGGGTATAAGATCAATATTCAAAAATCCATTTTATTTCTGTGCACTAGCAATGTACAGTCAGAAAATGAAATTAAGACAAAATAGAGCAAATTTCAGAAAAGTTAATTGCCTCACACAAGTCTACTTAGTTAATAAGTGGTTAGTCTAGGATAATAACCTAGTCTTGTCTCTATTGGTCTCTGTGTACTTTTCAACATTTTATGAACATATAGGGTAAACTAACATATTTCTTGAAACACACTCACTTTGACTTGACTGCTTAGTTACCATTTTTCATTTACTTAATCCATAATTTAAAAAAATCTAAAATGACTTTTGCATTTAATACTGCTCAATTTAAATCGCAGAACAACACATATGTCTTTCCTTTTGATTTATGAATTAAAATCCTTTTGATTTATAAATTAAATATGAATTATACCTGACACATTGCCAAATGTGTGGTCAAAATTGGGTCCAGTAAAAGGAGGAAAGGTGCTTCCCCGAATCCTTTCCCATTCATTATCATCATTTAGATCCTGGATCCAGAAACAAAAGCCATCCTCAAAGTTACAATTAATTTTCTCATAATCTGTGAATGAAAAACAAAAAAACAAATTTAGCCCACAATATGAGTAGTTGTATTAGGCTGTCTTGAAAATAATCTAATCTTATACAGTTTATACTTGAGTGACATGCACAAAATCATTACTTTTTAAAATTAATCTTAATTGTTGCATTCTAATTCATTTTTTAAAAACAGCTTTTTGTTGCTGTGTTAAATTAACATGGTTCTTATATTCCATCATCATATTAGCAAATGTAAGTTTCTTGTCCTTTAAGTTTTACATTGTGTCTCCATTGGTTCACCCACATAAATTTTGTCCCATATTTTTCTCCCTCCTGTTACTAACTTTAATACCTTGATCCAAATTAAGTTTATGTAGAATTTTCTCTGAATTAGTTTTATGCTAGTATTTTATAATTTGCAATGCTTGCAGCAAATAAATTTTTAATTTGATTTTATATTGGTTTATAAGTTTTCTCAAATTGTTTACTTGATTCCTTTGAAAAATGTAAACCCTATTTTCTAATTTCTCATTTCTTTTTAAGTTCTAAGAAGAGAAAGATGCATATAAAAATACTCATTTAAAAACTTATACCATGAAAATTTTAGATTCTGGTATGTTTAAAATTTCATTATAACACTAAAGCATCTAAAAATTAAAAAAGCTATAAAATAAATAATACTTACTATGAAGCTCACTGCTGTTAAATGCTGTATATGTTGCATTAAAGCCAATATAATAACTTTCATCAGATTCTATAAGAAAGGTGGCAGTAACTTGGTTGGAAAAAATTCTTATTGTGCCAGGATTAGTTTCCCAAAGAGAAGCTACAAAATAAAATAAATAACTGTTATATGCGTATTTCAATTTATTCATCTATCTAACCATCCATCTGTCAATCTATTGATCTATCCAAATATCTATCTGATACCACTTAGTTAGCTAAAAGCATTAGTCTTATGTTTATTTTAATTGAAATATCTCTTCTTTCAAACATTAGAAAACCTCAAGTTATTATACATATTTATGGTTTGATAAAAAAGGTATTTTTAATTATTAGCTTCATACACTACATATACATAGAAAAGATGCATTCATTTACTGACAAAGTTTGCCTGAGAAACATCAGTTATGCAGTTTTAAAACTTAAAGTCAACTTAGCTTTGTCAGGTATCTATTGTGTCACACTCACAGGGACTTAATCTGGATAAAAATAATAGAAAAAAAGAGTATTCTTTGGTTCTTTATGCTTGTAATTATAAGACCTCAAAATAATACAAGGTGACTTAAGATTGTTTCTGCAGCATTTTATATTGATTGTAACATTTTTCTGTCTTGAGTATACACTACTTAGGGGGTTTTGTTTTTCATTTTTGATTGTCAAGCGTTAGTATAGTACTTAGGTTATAAAAAGCTTGCAAATGATGCTTTACTAAATCATTGTTACATAAAATTTGTTTTTATAAAAATGTATAGCACATACATTTTCAAATAGGGTGATCATGCCTCTAGGGGGGTAAAAATTGGTTTTTAGGGAGAAAAACTATTTTAATTTTTAAACGTGTAAACCTCAGATATACCCAGAGTCCATGAACAGATACACAGAATATAGTGTATATGAAATATTAGACTTTCACAAGGAGCAGTTGGAAAATAACAAGGCCTTACAAGGTTTCTTAGTGGAGGTGATAATAAAAAAAAGTGTTTAGAAATAATGCTTTAGCATTTTAGTTTGACAACTTGAACAGGTATCAGATTCAGGTCTATAAAAAATACCATACTTGCAGATAGGAGAAAATGAACCACAGTAATTTATTGAGTTCTGAAAAGAGACATTTTTATGAACTATTGGATATCCTGTGATTATGTAGTAATCAGGAAACATTGTGATACATGCAATGTAATTTCAATATAATCTAATAGAAAGGGCATCATGAACAAGCATTAATTCGCATCTTAATGCTTTCACGCCAAACATGCGTCATGCATTCAATGTTTTTTCATGAAGACCTATATAAATTATTTAGACTGTTGCCATGCCAGCATGCACAATTGTGTAATTTAAATACCTCTCATATTGCAAACCTTTGGAGTTCATAAGTGTTAGTCACGTAAGGGATGTGAACAGTCTAGAAACTTAGCTTTAAACCTACCTGCCTCTATTTTGCTTTTTATTCCATGGCAATGGAATTCTCTTGGACAATGACTTCTGGCTGGCCTTGAATATGGCTGGTGGTTCAATATCCTCTTAGTGTGTTGGATTTCGTAGTGTGTTGAATTCTCACGTTATCTAATAGAATTGCACTATTCTAAAAATCCAGGAGCTTGGGAGGCTGAGGTGGGCAGATCACAAGGTCAAGAGATTGAGACCAATCTGGCTGACATGGTGAAACCTTGTCTCTACTAAAAATACAAAAATTAGCTGGGCGTGGTGGTGGATGCCTATAGTTTCAGCTACTTGGGAGGCTGAGACAGGAGAATCACTTGAACCCAGGAGGTGAAAGTTGCAGTGAGCTGAGATCGCATCACTGCACTCCAGCCTGGCAACAGAGCAAGACTGTTTCTGAAAAGAAAAAAAAAGTCCAGGAGCTTACCTTGAGTTCCATTAACCTGCTTCAGACAAACCCCCTAAAATGGTGTGGAATATGTTTCTGTAGAGATTTAATACAATTTTCATCAGGTATTCTTAAAGTCTCCTTGCTTAGTAAGAGTTCGAGGACCACAGATCCAGTGAAAGCCACCTATCTTACAGATCCAGGGAGTAATGGAGGGTAGTGGTTAAGAGCAGGGGCCCCAGCATCCGTATTTGAGTCCTGGTTCCATGTCTTACTAGACTTCTCTATGCCTCAGTTTCTTCCGTAGTGTTACAACACTTTTCCCATAAAGATTTGTGATAAGGAGTAAAAGTAATTCCCATGTAAGACAGTGACTGGTAATACTAAATGTTCAATGGATTCTATCTTTTGCTTCTCTATCTCACCAACTAGGCTGTAAACTTTGAAAAGGATGAGATTATAATATAGTATTTTCTGTACCTCTGTCATTGTACCAAAGCATAGGAGATTTTTAATCAATATTTGAGGGCATATGTCAAGATGTGAGTAAACAGAGTAATATAATTTGGCTACATAAAAGCGACAGGGTTTCTGTTGAAAGAAAAAAACCAATTACCTAATATCTTTTAAAGGACGACTTTTCCCCTAATATATCATAACAGATAAAATAATTTTTGACATTAATTCCTTAAGAAAATCTAACATCTTCTACTAAAATCTAAAACTTTTATGGATGGCAATTTATACGACTTATCAAGCAGTCACTTAAATGTGAATTAACTCATCATTTCTATGCTAACAGCAAAGGTTCTGGTGGATAGGTTTGTGAAAGGTATGATAAAGATGTGGAGAATTTGGAAAGAGAGCAATGGACAGGGAAGACCAACTTTCTACACAGTGTGATTCAACAGATCTAGTTCAAACTACTTATATTATCCAATTTACAAGAGTGAAAATGCTGCAACTAGACTACCATCTTTATTATAAAAAGAATTTCTAATATATTCAACACATCTTAGTGAGTGCTCATTATGAATTTAGTATGGGGTCAAGTGCTGATGACATAGAAAAGAAATAACCAGTTTCCTCTGTTAGAAGAATTCATATTAGTGAGTTAATAAAAATAACCATAGGCCAGGCGCAGTGGCTCATGCCTGCAATTCCAGCACTTGGGGAGGCTGAGGTGAGTGGATCACCCGACGTCAGGAGTTCAAGACCAGCCTGGCCAACATTGTGAAACCCCGCCTCTACTAAAAATACAAAAAAAATTAGCTGGGCATGGTGGCAGGCGCCTGTAATCTCAGCTATTTCTGGAGGCTGAAGAAAGAGAATCGCTTGAACCCAGGAGACGGAGGTTGCAGTGAGCCGAGGTCACGCCATTGCACACCAACCTGAGCAATAAGAGCAAAACTATGTCTCAAAAAATAAAATAAATAAATAAATAAACAAATAAGAATAGCAATAAAATAATTATATAAGGGAAAAATGCTATGGGAGTACTGAGGAATGAATCTTTAATTTTGCCAGCCAGTATGATTGGGGAATCTTTGAGAACTTCTGGAAGGGATGACTTAAGCAAAGCTAGTGCTTGCTAAAATAAACTTATCCACGTAATATACCCCTATCAACAGAAGTGAGTGTATGGGTGCTTCTGAGTATACATAAAAGTGTCCTAATAAAATCACAAAATTTATTGAAAACACTTTGCCTTGAATAATATTTGCATATATTAATTCCATATATGCAATGTGATTATTTTTGTTGTAGGTTAAGTTGGGAATTCAGGAATACACACTATGTTTATTACGTAACTTTGACTATAGCTATGCACACTTGTGTGTGCCTCAGTATAAGCATGGCCGTACACAATGTTAAGCTACAGTGTTAGAAATATATTGTCAGCAGTCCTGTGGGAATGGAGTACCACCTAAACACTTGAGATATAAAGAATGGCATAACAACTGTGCACTCAGAAACACAATTCCTAGGCTCAGCATTTTGAAACCGTTTTCAGTGTGCTAACCCAGGCAGTTTTGTTGTCTTTCCTCAAAGATGCATACAAACATTTATAGATTTTTCTGAATGCTAAATTAAGCAAGCTCACTCACCATCTTCTACCCCTTTCATATGAAATATTAATAATTATTATGACTATTTAATTTAATATTATACTTTCATCACTGCAACTTAAAGAAAACACTTTTGAAATAACTTTCCCAGCACTCTATTTTGATTTACTTCAATTTTCATAATTATTTGAAAACTACTGCACTGTCAGTTTATGTAATGTCTACATTTCTCTGATACTTTTTAGCAGTTAGAGAACTCTCACGTCATAACTATAGATTAAAATGACTGGAAACATACCTTTATAATTTGTTTATGCTGATTTACCCAATCAGATATGTAACAACTACTTTATGATAATAGATGCTTGTATTTCCTTATACTGTCTCTATACAATCAACTTGCCCTAAGTAAAATATTTATATTTTTCCTATATTGTACAAATAATAACAGTATTTGAGATTATATATTTTGAATTGGAACTTAATGAAAGCAGACCTTGTAACCATGTTTCACATAAAGAAATTGCTAAAACATTTAAGGAAAGATGAGCTTGTGACTTGAGAATAAAAGCATCAGCATTATTTTCATACAAATTAACTTTACAGTTATGGTAAATACTGCTTGTCTCCATTGATTATACACTATAATACCATGTGATAAAAATATATACCAATTGGTGTTAATTCAGATAAACAAATTTTGAGTTTTTACAATACACCAGACTTTGTGCTAGATGCCAAAGGTAAGATATTATTAGTTTTCTTAGAAAAAGTTAGAATTGTTAACTTTAAAATTTAACACCCAATACATTTTCTGATATTTTTAGATTATAATTAAAATATTTAATTTTTAAAACTTCAAAATAAATTTTTATTTCAAATACCTTAAAATTAAGCAACTACCTATTATACTGTAACTACACATTCATAGATGTTTTCTGCTTGGATATTCAGTTTCTTATTTTTTTTTATTAATTGTGCATTAGTCACATCATCATGCCTAATTATTTTAAAATTTATTCACAAATTGTTGACTCCCTAAACATCTGAAAATAGTATTTAGATAAATCATAGTATTTGAAAAATGAGAATATCTTGTGCCTACCACTTATTTACCCCCAACCTCTACAAATTTAGATTTTATCTTCTGTAGACATTATTAATAACACCTACATAATTAGTTTGGAAGACCATTTATTGAATCAACTCAAAGTGCTGACAACACTCCTTTAGACAGTGCAAGTGAAAAATATATGCTAAAGTTTATTAATGCCACATTAGTCCTTGGAAATATTTATATGAAGTAGCTTATTTGTCCACTTATGTAAATATTTATGTTGATCATAATTTTAAGAAACTGCATTTATCAGCTATAGAAATAGATTGTGAAATACTTGGACCATTTTTTAAGAGCCAATGTGACTTACCATGAGTTCACATGTTTTATATATACTTGTTATGATATTTGTACTTGGGCTTTTAAAGCACAAAGAATAATCGTATTGTTTTTCAAGTCAGAGAGTTTGAGTTTAATTTCTGCCTTCAACATATGTAATTGTGAACTTAGGGTCATTTAACATATTAGACCTCATTTTACTCTTCTGTAAAACATATTTTGCAGATTTGTTGAAAATATTAAATAAGAAAATGCACATTGATTATTCAGCAGAGTGCCACACATCAATACCTAATAAAAATGAGATATTGTTAGCATATGCTTAAATATTTCTCAAATCATTAAATAGGATTCACTTTTCGTTACCCACAAATACAATTTGAAAGGCAAAGTTCTTAAAATAGTTATTGTATAAAGTTTAATCACAGGTGTCACCAACCTTATCTTAGCTCAACACTTAACTATTTCTCCAACATACGAGAAAAATAGTTATTCCCTTTACTTTATTTCCATATTCTTTACCTCATCCTCATTTTATTTCCTCCTGGAATTTTGCCCCTAATTCCACTAGCTACTGTGAATAGGTCTGTGCACTTTGGGGCCAGGTGAAACAAAGTGGCATGGGCAAATGTATATTACTAGGACATCCCCTGCCCTCTTTTCAGCTTCTAGCCCTGTCCGTGTATAATGACAAATGGTTATGTAGTTACAATACCACCCATCCACAGCTACCATTTACTGAGCCTACCTCCTGGGCTAGACAATGTTTCAGACGCTTTATCAGTATTAGCCTGCAGGAGACTGACAAGCAGGGTGCACATCAAAAATGACAGCACCTCTGTGAATTTATAACCTATGCAATGTCAGAGACAAACAGAATGGTAGTTTTCAGGGATTGTCTGAATTTGGTTAATTGGGACTAACATTTAAACAATGTATGGTAACCAGATATATAATTATAATTCTTTGACAATTTTCACATAATTTTAAAGATATTAATTAGAGGACCACATGGTTAAAATGTAACTGTTTTATTATGAAGATCACAGAGTACTAATTTTCTAATTTTTATAATGAGAAGCAATTCTGTTTTTTTTTCTTTTGAGTTTTGTAAGTTTCAAGTCAATATTCACTTCAAAATCAAAGGGAAAACATATTACTCCAGAAAGTTACCCACATATTTTCATTTGCATAAGTAATTATATATTTGTTTCAACTTACCTCTCAAAATCTTGCTTGGTCCTACACCTTCATAAATATTTAATATATCTGTATAATATGTATTAAAATGATCAAAGCTCAGTTTAACAGAAAGTCCTTGGTTTACACTAAATGAAAAGCAAAAAATAGATCATCACACTTTTAGCAGTTGTCATATTTCTTAACTTATCCTAGAATTTGTATGTGTTTTCTTGTGGTACCACATAATATGATATCTACCCTCTTAAGTTTTTAAGTGTACAGTGCATTATTGCCAATTATGAACACAATGATGTACAGCAGATCTCTAGAACTTTTTAACTTGCAAGACTGAAATCTGTATTAGTGAATAACAACTCTCCATTGCTTAGTCCTCCCAGTCCCTGGCAACCACCATTCTACTTTCATTTCCGTGAGTTTAAGTACTTTCTATGCTTCATGTAAATGAGGTCATGCAGTATATATCTCTCTGTGGCTGGCTTATTTCACTTAGCAAAATATTCTCAAGGCTCTTCTATGTTGTATCATATACAAGATTTCCTTTTTTATGGCTGAATAATATTCGCATATATATCACATTTTCTTCAATCATCTGAAGATTGACATTCAGGTTCTTTTTATCTTTTCGTTACTGTAAATAATGCTGAAATGAACATGAGAGTACAGATATTTCATTGAGATAAATATTCAAAATTGGGAATGTTGCATCATATGGGAATTCTATTTTTAATTTTTTAAGGAACCTGCATACTGTTCTCCATAGCAGCTGTACCACTTCAGGTCTTCCCAAAATCATTTGTGGAAAGGATTATCCTTTCCCCTTTACGTTCTCTTAGTACCCTCATGGAAGATCATTTGATCATATATGTGAGGCTTTATTGTGGCTTTCTATTCTATGTCTGTCAGTATGTTACAGTTTTGATTACCATAGCTCTGTAATACGTTTTGAAATCAGAAAGTGTGAGCCCCCAAGTTTGTTCTTTTTTCAAGTTTGTTTTGGCTATTTGGGTTTTGTTGTGGTTCTAGGTGAATTTTTGGATTTTTTTTCTATTTCTGTAAAAAATGCCGTTGGTATTTTATAGGGCTTGCATCTGATCTGTACATCACTTTGGGCGATATAAATATTTTAACTATATTAAGTTTTCCAATTCATGTACATTTTTTATACCATCAAGGTGACAGCTATTATATTCTATTATTGTTATTCACATACGTAAATGTCTTTTCTAACAGAATTTATATGACTCAAGGACAGGGATTAATTCATGCATCCCTATATTATCCCTGTATTATCTAATACTTTGTAGAAACTAGTGCATTCTTATTTATATACAAAATAATTATCCAGCTGCCAGTATAAAAGCATGGAAGGAAAAGTGTGACAGGTTCATCAGAAAATTTAAAATTGATATTTAAACTTATTTTCATTTTCAGATAATAGTGTCAGAGAGGAGAGACTTAGTGAAACCTCTATTTACAACTCCACTGTCTTACTAAAATGTTTTAAAAAGAAATGTAAATAACTCCTCCAAGTGCTTTGTAAGTGCAAAGTTCCTCTGAACTCCTCAGAAAGGGAGATGGCTGAAAGAAATAAAAGTGTGTACAGGTGAAAATGTTTAAGCCTCCTTAGGCATGAGGTTAGCTAGATCATCTGCAAATGGACCCAGGAAAAGATTACAAGGGCTGGTGATACTTAGAGATTTAGTTTCCAAGGCCAAGATTGCATAAAAAATAGTTCTGTACCCAAGTACAGAACTATTATGCAGATTAGTTACATTTATAAATTATTTTCATTTCAGTGAAAGAAATTAAGATTTTCTGCAGCTTTCTACTGACATTTCAAATAAGTGATAAAGTTAACATTTTATTTTTCTAATGAGCAATGCTAATAGATATTTATAAATGCTTCTTGTAAGCTTGATGCAATGGGGTATGTGTGTTTGTGTGTGCACACACACACAATTAGGAGAATAAAATATTTGTGTATATGTTTTATATATATTGTTGAGTATATTGTTTTCACCTTACATTTGCATGTTTATATATATGTGGACATGGAATGTGGAAGTGAAATGTATATGGACTGATTCAGATGTCATTCAAGATAGATCAAAAAAGACATATAGAGGCTGTTCTATAAATATACAAATGTAGGGTGGAAACAATATTCTCCAACTTGGCTAATTTTTCAACTGGCAAGAATTACTTAGGACTGTCATTTTTAATTCATAGTCTTATTTTTGATATACCAATAGCATGCAGCCTAGAGCGTGAAACAATGAAAATTGTGTTTTTAGTTGTATCACATTACCTCACATGGGGCTGCAGTCCAAATAGAAGTGGAAAAAAAGAGAGAGATTCTTGCCTTGAACAATGCCAAGTAAATGTGTATAGAACAGTCTTTTTCTCACATCTCTTCTCTGAAATATGTCTACCCTGATGATTATTTTTGGGGTCATTTCATACTGTTTGGCAAGAACCCGAGGCTCTACTTTTGAACTTTATTTAATCAGCTATTATATTTATTGCCCTAGTTTTCTAGTGAGTCATCAGAATGATTAAAATTACATATTATCGGTCAGACTGGTAAAACATAATCTCATCTAGCTATTAAGAGAAATGAAATGAACTAACTAGAATGTAATTTTTCATAGTGAATTCTATGGAGTACTTATTCTGCATATTCTGTTGGGGAAATATTCAGCAGTTTAACAAGCAAGTTTTTATTGGAGACTTATATTGCATGTTAACATATTTAGGCTATAAGAAGTAACATTTTTAATAGTTTTAATAAATTTATTTCAGGATCTCATATATATGTGAGTACAAATTCTTTTTCTCCTTGGAGTATCTGGAAGGAATGTAAGGCGGTCCTTGCCTGTGAAAATGCTTAGGTAAACATTAGGGTAGGTCAGCTGTCAACAGCCTGATTATTTTGATTATCTTCATAATTGGATGGGTTAATTGAATTAAGAATATGGAGGTGAAATATATATTGACTGATCCAAATGTCATTCAAGATACAGCAAAAAAGACATATACAGAGGCTGTTCCCTGCTCTTAATCTGCTGTAACTGAATCATGTTTTAGAGATTTCCACACAGTAAGTGGCAAAATGAAAAAGAAAATATTTTACAGACAAATGCAGGTGATGTGAAATTCCACTTCTCATGATTTACAGTGTGTGCTGTTTGCCTGCCAGCACATGATCAATGTCAGCCACAGAAAGAGAAACTTCCTTCAGAACCCAATAAGATGACCCCATTTATTAGATAGTATTGTTCATAACACAGAATACCTTTTTAAAAGGTTAAAAAATGATAATTTTTGTTTATGGTTTGTCAGTTGGGAAGTCTTTGCTTTATAGTTAATGAAAACAATGATTCTTTAAAAAAAACTACTGAAAGCAGTAACACGTTGCATCAGAGAAATACTTTATGACTTAAGAACGGAACGTATAAGATAGTGTATTACCGTATGATCCACTGGCAAACAACAGTTGATTCAGAAGGTTTTGGATAATGAGTAGCCTGGAAAGATCCAGATGATTCAGTTAACAAAAATCTTCCATCACAAGCTGTGGCTGCAAAACGATGCCAATTAATGTTACACAAAAACAATCTTGGGATTCAAACTGGCTGCAAGACATTTCACAGAACACTTGTGGCAGAATCTTTACAAGGCTATTTTATAAAATTGAAATGACCAAATGATCATAAGATTTCATATTTAAAACTTATTAGCCATTTTCAAATACTCATACACATCCTATCATGGAGTACATTAGAAAAGCATTGTCTTTCTAAAACCTTTCTCTAAGCTGCACTTTAGGTGTATTCTTCCATATTTGCAAGGAAATAAATATATCTGAATTGAAAACTGCCAGTTTAGACAGATAACTAGTCATTTTTGTCTTATTTTTGTAATTAAATTGGAGCTAGGTAAATTTCAAATATATGTATAAAGTGCTTTGTTTTTTGAAAATGATTAGAATAAGGCCAGGAAAATGGTAGTACTAGTGGCCTGTGCAGAATTCCATCCAACAAATCTGTTAGCCCATATTTTAAAGTTTTTAAGGAGCTTTATAAGGAGCTACTCCTTTGGGAGTAGCTAGCTCAATATTTTCAATATTTTCTTACAATAATCCTGATTCTGCCTTTTGCTTTCCATAATTACTCATTTTCCTCTTTTAGTTTTATAGCAGATTTATTTCATGAACCTCTCCTTAATGTCATGCATTATTAGTTGCCTTTAATTTATATCTGAATTCATTCAAATTAGATTAAAATCTTCTTGAAGGCATGAACCAAGAGCTATTACTTATAGATTTTTGGTTTTTTTATATGCAAAAAACCACCTTGATTTTCACAATTTTTAGTCTTTCTTACATTATTTTCCTCCTGGTTAGTTACTTGGTTATGTTGACACAATATTCTAAAATTATGACCCCTACAATGTGTTCTTTATCTCTGCATATAACAAACTCTTCATATGGAGAAGCATTAATGGAGGATAGAAAAATCAAAGAAATATGTCAAAATGTCATTTTTGAAATCTGAGTGTTCAGAGTAAGCTACTTCTAAATTGAGCTATGAAAAAGCTCATTGTAACATTATAAAGTGATTCTATCAAATTACATAATACAAGCTATTTTATGACAAAATATTTTATGTATATAAAAATAAACAGATTAAAAACTAGAGCGCAAATAGAAACCTTAATAAAAATTTCATGTTTTTATTGGGTTTTTGCTATTTTTGGCATATTTTTTTTAAATGGGTAAACATTTACTTTGATAAGTTTATTATTGAAAGTCTGCTTAAAAACAATGGCCTAGAAATTCATTGCTAGCTTATGATTTGACAACCTGATTCCCAGAAGAAGAAAAGAACAAAGAAATAAAGAACAGGAAAAAAAGAACAAAGATAAGAAAACAAAAGATAATAATTCAAGAAGCAGAGATTAAATTCTGAACAATGCAACATAGATCACTGGAAAAAAAGAAAAATTGTGGTTTGTTGAGTTAATTTAATTGCCTTATGTATAATAATGACTGCAACAAAGAAAATTAAGGCTAATTTTTCATGATTTGAAGATAAGTAGTAAAATATGTGACTTTCTAATGACTTGCTAAATAATTTTCTAGTTGTAAAAGCAATTCTCTTTTCTCACCCTCAGCTTTCTTTTCCACTGTAAACCATGCCAAAAAAACAGGGTAATTAATGCCTTAGATTCAAAGACCATAAAAACCAAAATGGTATTTGCTTGTATTTGATGTCATATACAAAGCTTTTAAATCACAGTTGGTCAAGAAACAACATGGACTGAAAATTGTAGGACCTGTGGTAATGCCTGCTGCTACTGTAAAGTTCATATTTGAGTTCTACTTAAGGACCAATGAGGTAGAGTGCTCAATCCTATCAGTGCTAAAATACAACTGCTAACATTTACAGAGTGTTTGCTATGTGCCAGTCATTTTCTAAAGTTATTTTATATGTATAAATGTAATTTGCATAACAACTCTGTGAAGTTATGAGGGAAACTGAGGCATATTGGGTTAAATAACTACCATAAGGCCTCCTAGCTTACCAGCAACAATTTAAAGCCAGGCAATCTTATTTAACTGCATACCGTGGTATATTGCCTAATATTACAATATGTTTTTATAACTATCACTATCATGATGACATCACTCACACTTTGAACTAAAAAGCAGGGGGGAAAGCATGAATAAAAGAAGAAACAGAAAAATTTTAAGAGATTTCCATCTTTTTCAATGTTCTCAAATTTAAAATATAAATCACATTTGCAATAATATTCCAGAACAAACAAGAGGAAGAGAGAGAGAGAGAGAGAGAGAGAGAGAGAGAGAGCAAAACAAGATCCCTTTAACAATTTGTAAAACCTGCTTGTAAAGCTGATAAAAGTTTAGTTATCATTCCCATCTATTCACTACACATTTTTTGGGAAAGATATCAACAGCTTTGTGCTGCACAACACGAGTCATAATTTTCCAAAAAGCTGAATTATGTCACTAGTTTCAAAGATGGTTCTATGTTTGAAAAATCCTGTTTCAGTTCTTTCCTGAGCACATGACTAAACTACACTTCCCCAAATCCCTTGCAGTCAGATAAGGTCATGTGACTGAGTTGGCCAATGAGCGAGTGTAAAAGTCACTGTGTCTGTTTCCAAATATGGTTTCCAAATTTATCTGTAACATTCTTCCTTTGTCAGTCAGCTGGTTGTAAAGGATCTAGTGGAGGATTCTGGGGACAGAGAGTGGCAAGTAAGGAGCAGGCATCCTGAACGCCTACAGAGAGCACAGCCGTTTGCCATCTTTCTTTCACCATGATATGGGTGATAAACAAACTGATATTGCCTTAAATTGTTAAGATTGTTTATCATATTATTTAGCCTGTCCTAAAAAATATGATCAATTTTCCTGTCCTGTTTTCTATCATGTTACTAAGTTTTAGTGGGAATGGATACTCTACAGGCCAAATTCTGCTCTAATTAGGCTCTAGTCAATTCCTGCATACAAGTAAACATAGAGACTATTTCAAAAGGTATTTAAAATAAAATTATGGTAGTATTGAATTATTTCTAATAGCAAAGTTCAGAATGCCAAAATATTATCATTTCAGGATAGAAGCTTGTGTAAGGCGCTTTGTCATACATTTTTAAAATTTAATTTCAGGATGTTTCTGGAGAACCTAATAGTACAAGTGACCATGAAGCAGGATAGGTTTGTAGAAAAAATAACACAGTTGTGGATGAGTAGGATTGCTGGATGTTAGGATTATGACTTTTTAGACTGTGCAGTGCTTTCTAGTGCAGCATCAGAAAAAAAAATTCTGAGTGGAAGATAAATGAGCCTGTCAAATAATATCAGCTATTCTATTGCACTATCAGAAACGTTGCCTGAAAGGGGATGGAATTAATAAGGATATGCACTTAGGACCCACTAAGAGCTCCCTCTGCTGGCTCAATATTCACTAATTACGTCTTTGCTTATGGCATTGAAATCTCCAAGATGTATAAATCAAACATGATCTATGCTTACCCACCAAGCTCTATTATGCATATACACATGAGGCATACAAACTATGAGAACACTTGCCAACTTCCAAAGAGTTAAGCATTGTCTTAAATGCTGTGAATCAGCATCTTTCCTTCTCGTAGGTCAGCTAAAAAGTGAACTTTCTTGCTGATATAATTCTGATCAGAAGAGAAAAACAATTTAAAGAAATCTTGGTTCAGCTATAGTCAGCTGTAAGTGTGAAAACCTAAATAAGTAAAGACTAAAAGGGAAGCTGCATGAGGAAGACAACATTAATAACACAAACCAGAATCAGAGCTCACAGCTGGAGCAAAATATGTGTAAATCAATGAGAAAGAGTAAAGTTCAACTTTATATTGGAATAATTATCTTAAATTAATTTTATAAATTTTTCCGTGAATACAGATTGATGGATGGGGGCTTTCAGGTGGAAATAATGCTGCTGGAAGTTGGAGTTGGTGCTGAAATTCACTAGGCTTGTGGGCTCACCATCATCAATGAATGAAGCAACTTAAAATGAATGAAGCAACTTAAAATGAATAAAGCAACTGGTAATCTTGAAATCTCTCTTGATAAAAAAGATTGATTTAAACAATTTTATCCTATACATAATTTGAATTTCTTTACCAAAATGGACACAATACTTTCTTTAAACAACAAAAAAAGAGAATCAAGAAAATGGAAAGTGACGGTGTGCAGCGTTGAGAGTGTTGGTGACATGAAAGGCTGGTAACTATTAAGGTTCAATAAACCAAAAAATCTTCACATACTCGTGTAATAATGCAGTTTGACTATATTTTTTAAAAGCAATTTTAGATGGTTACTCCCATTCTAATATTGAGGCTCATCTCTTGAATTTAGAATGGCTCAGAAAAAATAATTCATTAATTCATAGCATTAAAACTTAGTTTAGGACAAACTATCGCACTTACATGATACTCTTATGGTTCTTTTTTATATGTACTGATATTAGTTTATCATGAACCTTATGAACTCCAGAGAGTAATAACAAAATAATAGGTGCAATATATTTTTCAAATATTTGATCATATATTTTGTTAGTTATGCCTTTTCCTCTATTTAAGGATATAGATCATCATTTTATTGGCTTAAATCCATGTGTCTAAGTTGACCTACACTATTATTTTTGAAACAGAAATCAGCATCACCTTTGCTGCCTCATGATGGCACACTTGTACCATATCCTCCCTGAAAAGATTTTAGAAAATGCCTGAAAACCATAGCAAAACAAGAACACTTCTTTCTTCTTCTTTGAGTAACTTAGTTACATAAAATAGATTAAAAAATATTCTGTAGACTGCACTTTCTTCCAATATGTTCTGAGTGAACTTCAAAGTATGTAGTTAAACTTTAAAGGTCTGAATTTTATCCAAGAACTTTTGAAAGAGATTGCTTAGTGGAAGTCTCTATAGTAGAGTGGCCTTTTGTGAGTTGTTACTGGGAAACAGACCAACTGCCTGGCTTTTAAAGTACGTACTAAGTGGAGAGGTAGTTTTTAAAACTTTGGTCATTATCAGAATACTCATCTTCCATTAATATCAAGCAAGATTAGAAAAGAGTACCAAATAATGGAAAAGTTTAGCAAATAGTAACTACAGTCTTCAACACACTTTGGGCACTAATTGTACTTATGGTCAGTTTTAAAACTGATTATAAACCATACCAAAAAATGTGCAGTTTAATGCTTTCCGTTAAATAAAAAAATATAGGTTAGACTTATCCAAATACAGCAGTCTCCCCTTATCCACAGGGGATGTTCTAAGAACTCCAGTGGATGCCTGAACCATGGGTAATAGCCCTGTATCTACCATGTTTTTTCCTATACATACACACCTATGATAAGGTTTGACTTAGAAATTAGGCACCAAGGGAGATTAACAACAATAATCACTAGTAAAATAGAACAGTTATACCGATACTCAGAATGACGTGCAATTTTATACTTATACATTGTTTATTTCTGGAATTTTCCATTTACTAGTGTCACCTGTGGTTAAAAATGGGTAGTTGAAACTCGAAACCTGAAATAAGGGAGAACTATTGTAGTTCTATGTGGAAATCTTCTTCAATATGTTACATACAAAAATAAATTACCTATTTAGATACTGCTTTCCAGTAAACTTTCCTAAGGGAATCCAGCTTTAAAAGGAAGAAATAAGACAAAGAGTAAATATGTTTAAATCCACTAGAGCTATGCTTGGTATATGGTAAGTGCTACTTAAGTCCCAAATAATAATAATAATAATAGTAAAATAACATTATTGTCATTAACACTCAAAAAAGATGCCAAAATATACAAGTGAAACACAGATGTTTTACTTATGGGACATTAAGTTCTTATTCATATCTTGTTTCCATTATTTATAGAACTACAAGAGGCAAATAAGAGCAGCAATCAAATTTTCAAGCTGGTTCTCATTGAGTTAGGCACTGTTAAAATGTTGAAAGGAAAAGACTGATATGATAGTGAAAAAACATGAAAAGAAATGAGAATGTATATCAGAGAAGAGACAAAAATTTAGCGACACCCATCCCCACATTTATGACAGACATTGTTAATCACATCTTCCTTTCTGTAGTGATCAAAAGAAATCCAACAAAATTTTCTGTTTAATTAATCATTATGTTTAGTATTATTTTTAAGTTTAGGAAAATATCAATACAATTTTTTTTAGATTTTGTATTATGTTATACTGTTTGTAGTTTCAGGTCTCTGAGATTAGTGCGTGCGTGTGTGTGTGTGTGCGTGCACGTGCATGCGTGTTTGTGTGTCTAAAGTGAGGGAGGATAAAATGGAAGGGGAAAGAATAGGGGTGTAAACTTACCACATGTTTTATTGTCTTCATCAGAACCATCTGGACAGTTTAATTCTCCATCACAAAACAAATCAGCTGCTATACATGTTAGAGCATCAGCACAAGGACTTGAACCAGACGGGCACTCTATTGAGACATTTCCTTTAAAAAATGACTGAAATTTTTAAATTTCCAATTGATGAGATACGTACAGTGTTAAAACATTTAATATGCTTTTTGCCATTGGGGTTCTTACTTATAAGTATATTCTTTAACTGCCATAGAAATATTTATTTCATTTTAAGATCAATCATTTGTAAAATTAGAGCATTTTAAATTTTGAAATTTCATGTGGGGCAATTTTGGAAAGTTTATTACATCATCTGCAGCATCCAGCAGCCACTTGATTTACTCATAAGCTTATTATTTGAAAATACAGTGGCTTAAGTCAGCATTTCTATTTTGTAGAGTAAATTGACCAAAGTCATTTTAAAATAAGATAAAATACTTAAAATTCCCAGTACATTGCAACATTAAACAATGAAGAAACCTAATGGCTATTCTATCTCTTTTTCCCTTGGGTCAGAGATTCTTAGGGGGTACACTGTAAACACACCCCTTCAGGGTTTCATGTCATCTTCTGGAGGGAATCTGAACAATTTGCCCCTCTCAGCCTGTCTTGACTTTTACTTGCCCACTTTCATAAACTTAAGTCTAGATGCACCAAGAAACACATTTTACTTCTAGAAATTAACTTGGAAAATGTAAGAGCAATTCTGAAAATAAGACATATTCTTACATGCCCACAAGATAAAGACTTTTAATTTTATTTTATTTTTCAGGCCAATGTGGAAATTTGAATATTTTTGCCTCTGAATACAATAATAGTGATGGTGCAAAGTTTTGGAAATCTTTAATTCAACAGCATTATTTTTCCCTTTTTGGTTATTGTTCTTGATCTTAAAGCCAGAACTGTACTGCCATCTGCTGGGTTTTAAAAATATGAAAATCTGTAATTTCTCTTTCTGCTCTATAAAATTAATTAGCAAAATAAATATGTTCATGTCAATGAATCTACTAAGTTAATCCTTAATTAAAAATATTTATAGATTTTTACTGAGTATACATAGAACTAAATGAGATATTTGTAGCTGGCTGTAATTAAAATGAATATGAACCAATGGGAAATTCATGGAATACCCATCTAAAATTATATGACAGGGTAAAGATCAGAGCCATTCTCAAATGACAGATAACTCCTATGTAGGAAAACAATAAATAATAATAAAAATATTATTTACTAAACCCAATTGCATATACTTGTTGATACATAAGAGCAATTCATCAAAAATCATTAACCATTGAGTTACTAATCCAGAAAGGCAGAGGATTTGATAGAATCTCTTAAGTGCTTTATAAATAAATAAACTAAAAAAGGAACTATGCTTGAAACTGTCTTATTTTATGAGTAGCTAATAGATGTCCAAGTACTCAGCATTTCAAAGACTAGATTTTGGGATATTGCTAGGAACATATATCACTTTGACTATCCTAATGCTTCTTGTGGGAGCTTCACTTTCTGATGCATCACATCTCTGTTGGTTATCTGTTGACTGAACCTCAAAATCACACCAGCAAGTGATATCCATTGGACTTGATTGATCTTATGAATAATCATTTATTGATCCCACAAGTATTTATTTTCTGCACATTTTTGTCATGGAGTTTTAAGAGATGGAGATAAAAGAATGAGTAAGGCAGAGCCTCTCTCCTTTCGTGAAGCTTGAAGTTTAGTGGAGGAACGGGTTTATTTACAAATAATTTTTTTAAGAGAGATACTTAAAAAGTGCTATGGGAGCACCAAAGTTTAAGCAATTAGTTTCCTTCTAAGGCAAGAATTACAAACATCTTTATAGAAGTGGTCATATTTAAATTAGTTTTTGAAGAATGCCTAGAAATGCACCAGGAGGAGAGCTGTATGGAATGTATTTAGTGATATGTCAGGAGCAAGTCAATATATGGGAAACAAATGAGTCTCACTAACCTAGACGGATGTTTATGGAAGGCATAGTAAGAAAGGAGTTTGGTACTAGATTCTAGGGGAACCTTTAATCTTTTTTAAGTGTTAGAAACATTTTTCAATAGGCAATGGCATTGAAAGATTTTTACATATATGTACGATATGACTAGTCCATGTTTCATAAAGGCAGTTGTTGGACCATGTGAAACACCACGTGAATAAGACCACTCGAGAAGCTGTTTCAATGGTCCTAGTGAAAGTTGATGAGGGCTAGAACTCTCACAATGGCAGAGGAGATGGGACATGGGCTCAATTGCTACTTACAGGTAAAACTGATGATCTTCAGTGATTACATGTGCTTCTGAACAGGATTAGTGGAGGTGGAGAATGGAATGCTAAGGAATTGGCAGTTGAATGACTGGAGAGGCCAGTTCTGTTACTATGGCCATTAGTCTCAATACTGTTTATGAGATGGACAAATTGTGAGATTAGAAACTGAGTCTAGTTTGAAGTATTTTGACTTTAAGTTAGAATATTAAAGTTGGAATCTTAAGTTGCACTCTGCATCTCTCCAGACTGTTTCATAAACACACTTCATCTGACTGGGTCCATGAGGAACAGAAGTTTCCCATATTAAAACTAATACGGAAAATATGAATGTAATTTTTATACGATTGTAGTCCGTTTTAAAATTTTTGTCAAATTGTTTTTTTACTGAGTCTTCTTTCTTGCTCTCTTTCATTTTCTACATGAATATACGGGACTACAATTTCTAACAAAACTGTCAATTAAAATATCAGCTGTTACACCCAGCCAGATGCCAGTTTAATTTAAATGGTTTGCCCTCTCAAACTAGAGTTTTTTGACTTGAGTATTACTTGCTTCGCATTTTATTACCTAATTTTGTCCTAATATTTCTTTTATTCTAAGAAGTCTATGCCAAATTGCAAAACTATTCAAATTTCATTAATATTAGGCATTATTAACTTCAGTGGGAAAAATGCACTTGTTTTCTGTAATCTATGTGGCATTTTACCTTCAGGACACTAACTTTTGACATATGATAAAAACACACCAGTAAATTAGCATTACTTGGAATTCAGCAAAAAGAAGGCTTTAATTATACATTTGTAGTTGCATCATGAAAAATTCAGTATACACTCAAAGATGATTACTTCAGAGGAATCCAATATCAAAACAATTTTCAGTGATTTGGCACTAGGAACCTCCGTGCCTATTGAATACAGGCTCTGTGTTAGGCATTGTGGAGGGTAAAAATAATAAAATCAATTATTTTTTGCCTTCCAAATAATTTGCAAGAGATGTTATATACGATATGGTAAACCGAAACCATGGTTTGGAAATCATAGATTTTATTTTCCCCACTATTTGAAAAGGGATAATAGTACTTGGTGGCCAAAATTGTTTAAGACAAATTAAGCCCAAGATCCTGATAGCTTACTCAGTAGAAGCAGAATCTTCATCCATGAATGTTTGCCTTTAAAGTTTTATTTCACCACACTATATTGGAAAATAGGTATCACCTTACAGAAATTCTCATTTACTGTGATAGAACAAATTTAGGTTTTTTAAAAATGTATTTTAAGCAAGACTATGGATTTTCAATCCAATTGAAATTATGGTAGAAAGATGCTTTAGTAGTCTTGATACCACGTGAGCAGGAATGCCTTAAATTAGAGGAGAGTGCTTAGCAATATAAATGTTGTTTTCTCAAGCGCAGAAAAAGAATAATTCCTAAAGTCACAATACGTTTGGTGTCAGGTAAAATCTCTTCATCTCAGTCTTGAAGCAATTAAATTGAGGAACATAATTCTACCTTAGGTTGTTTTGGCCCAATTTCATGTTTTTCACTAAATCAACCAATTATTCTTTTTCTTCAATCCCCAAACTCTTCGACACAGTGGAACTGTAGCAAGGATACATTTTTTATGAGATTGAGACAGGCCATGATAGTGAAACTTCTATCTTCTGCAGGTATTGCCTACACAGTAAGAAAAAAAAGACTAGAACAAGCTGTAGTCTAGAAATCCCTAAACATGGGAGCAGTTGCCCAAAACACCCTCTCTAGGCACTCTGTTGTGATCCAAAAATTAATCTGTGTCATGTCACCTCAGTTCCAGTCCTTCTTCTCTAATGTTCTAAATGGGTTAGTAAAACTTTGAGGTAATTGGCAGCAAAAGCTGTCGAATGATAGTGCATAATCCTAATGGACTTTGTACCATTATCACACAAAAATTCTCTTTTGCAGAATTTATAACAGTACTAATACCAGGTATATGATGCATGCATTTGTTGATTTTTCTCAAACTCTGTCTTCCAGGCATATAAAAATGAGAATAAATTTAACATCCCTGGAAGGCATATTCATAATAAATTACTGCTTGGAAAATGCAGTTTTCACATTTAATTGCCTCGTTCCCCTCTATAAATATATAGTATCTTGCTGTATGAGAGGAATAAATGGGAAGAATGATTGGGCAATCATGTAGTACATGGATTCACTAAAAAGAAAAAGAGAATATGATATTTCACCACTTACTTACGTTATAATAATGCTTTGAGGATTAAGGTAATCCAATACAGTCTCTGATAACAGGAAATGTTTAGAAACAAAGTTTTTTTTTGGTGAAATGAAAGTTCAGATAAAAATGAACGTTACCAAGTAGAATAATCCTGTTTTAAATTCAGGGTTTTTATGAGTTTTTTAAATAAAGAATCCAAATGGTTTTTTTGTTTGATTCTGTTTCAGCAAACTCAGAAGGGGGAAGGAGTAGGGATCTAATATTGGCGGTGTTCCTTCTACTCCTTCTTTGTGGGAGTCACCATGTTGACCATGGTACAGTGATATCTGTATTATCTCTCTTTCAATTTTCATGATCATCCTCCAAGAAATATATTTTAATCTATTTTTTCAGATAATAAAGTTCAAATAGGCTAGATAGCTTGCCAAATATATGTAGATTGATTGATGAAATTAGGTAATGCATGAATTCACCCATGTATTTTTAGTGATTGAGAATTTATGTTGCTTTTTGATCTTTATTTTGACTATTGATTACTTATACAAAATGTGAAAGACAGGGCTAAGTGTACACTGACCCCCATTTCTGTAGTTTAAATGTAGAAAAGAAGATTTCTGCTTCACTTACCAGGAGAGAAAAATATGGATGGCATACTTTCCCATGCTCTCTGACCCCTCATTCATCATTTCCTTTTTTATCCAGAGGAAATTGAGCAGATGGTTCAGCCAATTCTTTATATTTTTAACAGATATGTCTTCAGAATAGTAAGGGAGAAAACCTTCTTTTAAGTCCAGTGCTTTCTTGCTTTATTTAAGACCTTCTTTTCACCTAATTCATTCTACATGTTACGATTAGGACATTTTATACAACTAAGAAGACCTTAACGGCTTTGTGTTAGATTAATCACTCAATGAACCAATAAACAAATAGAAAATAGGCATTAATTTGGATACTTGTTACTGGCTTTCAAGGTTTTAGGAACACATTTTTCAAAATATATTTAACTTACTTATTCAGCTTATTTTTAGACCAAAGGAATTAGCCACTATCAATCCCAAAAGCATTTATTCAAAGTGTGCTGGAAGGGGATTTGAGAGGCTGTAAATATTTTTCCACATTGGAGATGAGAATGTGGACTCAGTGTCAGGGTTTTTTTTATTTGCAATATGTTGTGCTATTGTTTGGAGGTAACCTAAATACAGCTGCAGACAGACTTATGCTATCATAATAGATCTCTATGGGTTTTAGAGTTGTGATGGCTTGTTTCCTAAAGCATTTTGATTGATTCATGTATTGCTTTGCTTTTCAAACATTACACCAACAATTTTTATTCAAGAATTATTTATCCCTACTAAAAATGGTGTTTATAATTTTACAAGTGTTTTCTCTCTATGTATATAATATTTGATGTAAATTTTAATAATGTAACACGGTAGTGGTATTGTTGGGAGCTGATTGAAGATCTACATTATTGCCTTTATTGAATTTACTTCAAGGGATTAGGGACACACCCAGGACATTCCATATGAAGATTAGGTCAGGACCAGAGACGGTATTTTAGTTGATTGAAAGACAGAAGCACAGCGCACAATTCCTAGAAATACAGAGAAATTGGCACACCAAAGATACATACTGAGAGTTGGCATAAAGTAGATACTTAAAAAAATTATTGAATGAACGAATCTAAGGCCCCTTTGGTAATTCTTTGGCCACCAGTACCATGTTAACAGCAGAAAGAAAGCATGTCCAACTTGTATGCAGAGAAAATAATCAAAGGAAGGAAAGTCTGTAATATCTGATAAAATCTACTTCCTTGGTGGAAAACCTTTTGATCCTATTGGTGACATTCTTTTCAGTAGATAATGACAGTTCTGTTAGCAATAGACAGAGGATAGGAGTGAGCTCTGACAACTCAGGCATTAGGCCCCCGTATTTTGTTTACTTTGGTGAAATCTTGGGCTAAAACTGCAAACTTTTATGCTCCTGGTTTCTTATCTATAAAATGCATGCAATATTAATTGCTAAGACATCAGAGACTTCTCAGGGGCCTAAAATAAAATGTAAGTGAAAACTTTCTTTCAAAGACAGTAATAATATTATTAAAACTTACCTGGAGTTGCCAGATGACTGGTGGTTATAAGCTTGTCTAAAAGATAAATTATATTAAAATAATAATTATATATTTAAAACTAATTACCAGGAATTTATTGTATATTCATTCTATATAATATTTAACCTAATAATTTTACAAGTTATTATGAATTATTAGTGTCTATTCATTTAGAAATATGTCATTTATATTTGGATTTAGGAATAAATATTTTATGTTTTTGATTATTTTTAGAGTTGTAGAGGTTTTTAGGTTTTTAACTCATCTTTTATTTTCTAACGAAAGAAGAAAAGGTTATTCAATGATCTATAACTAAATATGAGGATTCATTAATTTCATAATGACCATAGACTTAAAATGTTGCAGGCGAATTTGATGCTATTTGAAAGAGAAGCATGGGATATGCTTAGACTATGGGCTTTGGAATCAGAAGGAACTATTTTTGATTTCTCAGTTTGACACTTAATAACTGTGTGACCTTGGGCATGTTACTTATTACTTATTTTATTTTTTCAAATGGAAAAATATCACCACCTCTCTGCAAAATCATTCTGATAACTGAAATAGGTAATGTTTGTAAAATGTAGTACCTGGCTAAAGAGGATGTCTTAAAAAATAAAACTTCAAATATTATAAAAATGGTCATGATTATTATACCAAAAGTAACATCTTCATAGTTTTATAACCATGAAATTATGTAATTATAGTTTTACAAAAAGATGGGGGTGAAGAAAGTGCTGGAATAGAGTAGTTAATATTAAGCCTGGATTTTTCCTTCCAAAGTGTAATGTCTACTGAAAGCCATCTTTCTTTATCTGACCCTTAGTGACCTCACAGTTGCCATAGCTTTATCTCCAGAGCACCATGATTGGAGAGCTGTTTATGGAGATGTTACACACACACACACACACACACACACACACACTCTCTCTCTCTCTCTCTCTGTCTCTCTCTTTCTCTCTCTCTCTCTCATACATCTCTCATATATATGTATATAAAGTTTAAATATGAAGTACCATTGAAATTGGAAATATGTATTCTTGGCATAAGTGGTGAGGCATTAGGAACATTGTAATATTATGAACTGTTCTTTCTAACCAATTATAGGCTTCTTATAAATTGATATGAAGATTAAATGCCTAAGAAATAGCTGCAAGAAAAATATATATATTTTCCTAATGTCATAGAGTTTGATGATCACCAAGTTATATTTTTAAAAGTGCCATAAACACTGACCTGAAGTCGTTGCAGGGCTTACTGTAGAAAAATTCTCCAAAGATGCTAGAATAAAGTAAAGTTGACTTGACACATGGGCTTATTACATAAATGCATTACAAAACACTTAGTACAACTTGAATATTCATTCAAAGGGCATCTGATCCTTTGGCGTTCCTATTTTATTCGCTCCCACGCTAAATCTCCCTATTCATTATTTGGTTATAATACATTGGATAAATTTCCAGAGTCTGCATATTCTCTGTATACAATTTACTTATGCAAAAAGTTTGCTTTATTTTGTATCTATTTAAGAAATATATCTATTTATTAATCATAGTTATATATTATAATTTACATTTTAGCCAACTAATATGACATTATGCACCACATCTTGTCATATCTACAACCACTTGCTTTATACTAAAACATATGAAGAGAACAATTGCAAAACAATCTTTCACATAATTAATATTTCCTTGGAACTAAGTGGTCTATAAGTAAAAAGTGCTTTTAACATAAAAGACAAAAGCTGTTCCATTGTTCTATAACTCTGTTTTGGTACCAGTATCAGACTGTTTTGATTATAAAGACACATGCACACATATGTTCATTGCAGCACTGTTTACAATAGCAAAGATCTGGAAGCAACCCAAATGCCCACCAATGATAGACTGGATAAAGAAAATGGGGCACATATACACCATGGAATACTATGCAGCTATATAAAAAGGATGAGTTCATGTCCTTTGCAGGGATATGGATAAATCTGGAAACCATCATTCTCAGCAAACTGACACAAGAACAGAAAACCAAACATTGCATATTCTCACTCATAGGTGGATGTTGAACAATGAGAACACATGGACACAGGGAGGGGAACATCACACACTGGGGTGTGTTGGGGGGTGGGGAACTAGGGGAGGGATTGTGGGGGGTGGGGAGGGTGGGAAGGGGTTAACTTTGGGAGAAATGCCTGCTGTAGGTGACGGGGGTATGGAGGCAGGAAACCAACATGGCATGTGTGTACCTATGCAACAATCCTGCAAGTTCCACACATGTACCCCAGAACTTAAAATATAATTTTAAAAAAGACAAAAGCTGGCAATTTTCTTCAAACTTTAACATGTTTAATAGTTTTAAAAGTATAGACTCACCTATCTATGCAAGATATAAAGGAAATCAAACATATCTCATGAAAAACCATCATGTGGTGAATGTCTTTATTCAAAACTATATGGATGATAGGTGGGCTAAGAAGTATATTCCCTTCTACTAACTAGGTGTTTTATTTCAGCATTTCATCATTTTTGAATTGTGTTGGTTCTATGAAACCTATTGAAGTTTTGTAAATGATACATGGTAGAGTATTGATGAAGAAGGTAAAATAAAATTTTTGTAGCTTTTCTTAGAGAATATGGTTTAATTTTATTATATTTGACAGCTTATTATACAAAAATTCAAGATATCTGTGAAATTCTTAACTAATTTTAAAATTTTATAAATTCAAAAATTGACATGATACAAATGGGTATTAAACTGAAATACCTACAATTAAGCTTGGTTCTGTGTTTATAAATGTGTTTTTACACAATTCAACAAACTAAATGTAACTTCTGCATGTTGAGAATATTCTTGGGCTGGTGTTGTAATACAGCTTATTATACTTGTGATACTAATTCTAAACTAACTCAAAGAATATGGTTTAACTGAATAAATATATAATTTAAAAAAATCACAAACTCTATTCCCCTAGAGAATCCAAATATAGGGAATCATGAAAAGAGGTTTCAGCATATCTTTCAATTTGCTTATCAGAATTGACCACCAGAAACAAATGCACATGCAAATGAAGATAGTAAGATGACAACTTTGTGGTCTATTGGAAGATGGGGGAGGTGTGTGGGAGGAAGCAGAGGATCAGGAGAAATAACTAATGGGTACTAGGTTTAATAACTGGATAATAAAATAATCTGTACAATAAACCCCCATGACACAAGTTTACCTATATAAGAAACCTGCACTTGTACCCTGAACTTAAAATAAAAGTTGGCCGGGCGCGGTGGCTGACGCCTGTAATCCCACCACTTTGGGAGGCCGAGGCGGGTGGATCACGAGGTCAAGAGATCGAGACCATCCTGGTCAACATGGTGAAACCCCGTCTCTACTAAAAATACAAAAAATCAGCTGGGCATGGTGGTGCGTGCCTGTAATCCCAGCTACTCAGGAGGCTGAGGCAGGAGAATTGCCTGAACCCAGGACGCGGAGGTTGTGGTGAGCCGAGATTGCACCATTGCACTCCAGCCTGGGTAACAAGAGTGAAACTCCGTCTCAAAAAAAAAAAAAAAAAGTTAAAAAAAAATGAAAATATTCATTTTTCCATGCCAAGAAATAAAAAATGACTATGAAAAAAATCAGTCAACACTGTTCAAAGATAAAAAATTACAAACAAGCTAGTATAAAAGTTAAGAGCACAGACATTAAGATCAGACCACAGAGGTCAAAATGCCTAAATCTAAATGGCTGCGTGATTTTAGGCAATTTACCAAAGTGTCTGTATTTTGGTCTTTTCCCTAATTTGGAATTAGTAATGACGTAACATAAGAGGATTAATGTAGAGAATAAAAATGTTGATAGATAAATCACCTGTTCTAGCTAGTAATAGCTAGTAGTTTTCAGCTCATCTGAATCAAAAATTCAGAATAGACAGTCTCTGCCCCAGTAGGTATGACATAAGTCCAAACCATCAGTAGAGAAGGACTAAGAATTAACCGTCTTCTTAAGAACAGGAGCTGTATGATGTTGCAAGAGACTGAATGAAAGAGGAAACTAGGCTTGATGAAACAATGCTCTGTAGAGAAGCAACTAGAGATCTCATATTTACTATTAGAAAATAAACAACACTGCATGTTTTTATGTATTTAATTTAGAGGCAAACGTATCAACCGATCTCATTTTGTAGCACAACTAGTCCAACTAGTTGAATAATTAGGCTATTTAGAGTTTCTCTTTATTCCTCTCAATGTAGATATTTATGTATTGGCTAACCTTCTAAAATCCATTTCTGAATTCCAAAATGCATTTGGTCCCAAGGTTTATGGATAAGGGATTGAATGTGGATGACCTTAGCAAATTACTACCATTCTCAACTGAAATAAGCACGCTGTAAGTGTTTGTTGAATTGAGTTGTATGGTGGATAATTAGAATGGAAAATTTGGAACTACCTAAGCATTTATAAACATATTTTTCTGTTGTTGTTTTGGATGCCCCATATTTCTTCTTTTATGGTTTATACTTACGTTAAAATTATTTATCATTTATCGTTTAATTTTTATAAATAGGTAACAAGAAGGGATCAAACTCATTGACTCTACTTTTTCCTTCTTTTTTAAGCTTCTCAATTAGAGATTGGACCTTGCCTTTGCAATCTAATACTATCTAAAGAGAGTTCCTGAAAAGTCAGGGTGTGCTTGACCAGTGCAAAGAATGCATAAGACCCACAAACTTTTATGCATGCCAATACTTTCAGAATCTCCTTGACATTTTATAAACTTTTTCTCATTGATAAGTTTCTTCAAATGTGGTTTCTTCATATTTTACTTTTCTTATTCAAATGTGTCACCTCAGGCAATAAGACATGTTCCTAAGGTCAAGCATGATTCCACTTCCTCCCTGGTATATTGATAGAATTTTAATTTCATAGCTTAATGATTCAAAGAAATAAAATAATGTTCACAGATACCTAGGATATCAACGCTGTTCAAATCAATATGGAAAGTGACCAGTTGGCTGGATTTGTTTGCTTCAATGCCTTGAATCAGTTCTTCTTTTACATTTTCATCTGACACAGACTGGGCAAAGAAAAGGTCAAATATAACAATAACGCTGCCATTTCTGCAAAGCAAAAGATGATATAAGAGGAAAAAGTCAGACATCTTCAACTGATTTGTGTTCAATTCATGCTAAATGTCTTTGAAATTCTCTTCAGTTATCTTGCTAATTCTCATTATACCTGTGTAAGGTAGGTTATTTCAAATATTATCTTTATTTCATGAGTGAAAGAAAAAATGAATTGAAAGACTAGATGCTTTTTTTGAGAAGATAAACTCCAAAGTAGATGCAGAATTGAAATCTGAGTTTTCTGAGTTCCACGTTCAAGCACTCATCCCCAGGCTAGGAAGTTTCTGAGACTCTTGTGTTAAAATCATGTGGTATCTTGGCACTTATTCTGATTTGACTGTTTGGAGAAATGAAGGGTATGGATTTGTAACTTTTCATGGGTGATTTCTAAGTTGGGGAAATCTAAGGTAGTTTTACTGGTTTCAAGGAAAATTTTTTCTGCATAGTTTTAAAAGGCCTGATAGCAAGCTTGTAGCAACTAATCTACATCTACCTTTACTTATCTATTTTGCTTAATATAAAATATCAAAATATGCCCTGATTTCAAGGGATAGAAAGAAAATAAGGATATCTGGATCTATTAGGGACTCACAAGATATTCACTCTCAGGTCCATAAGTTGGGATTTTTTTGCCTACATGATCTGCAAACATTGCAGTAAATTTCAACCATATAGCCCTAATCATCTTCCCCCTCCATTTTATCCCCTGCTCTGTACCAGGCATTTTAAAAAGCTAACTTTTTTCCCTGTAAAGAATGAGAAAAACGAATAAATTTTTGGTGAATAAGGATACTTGGGAGATTTTTTTCACTCTTGCTTACATTTCTATTTGGCAAATGCTATCATTTTAGGGTGTGACCACTTGGGAAACAAACTCTAGCTCTTATATTTATTCTGTACTCAATAAGCTCTGGGAACTCAGGGTATACTTGGTTCCTTTATAGACAGACTAGGGAAAACGAAATTTTGCATGATATGTTTATTGCTTTCGAATTATGGGAGTTATATATTCTTGTGATATATGTAAGTTTATGAGCTTCTTGAAGGGTTTTGTCAAGTACAGTAGAGTTCTTTATTTATCTGTGCATCTATCTATCCTGCTAGAACCTATAGTAAATCTTGTTTTCATCCATGACTGGATTATAGAACCAGAATAGTCCTGAAATATCACAATTGATCAGCAACTTCACTAGGTGGAGTAGATTCCTTCTTAGTGTCCATGGCATTATTTAGTTTCACAGTGATTCCTTTCTAGGTAGCTGGTCTTTCATTTTCAAAATAACAAGATATATTTTTTGATATGATATTTTTATAATTCACATGTATTAAATAAATTATTTAAAATGTTAGAAGGTTTAACTTTCTAATTATTCTCTTGAATTATAGTAACTAAATCTCATTAAAAAAAAAGGTTTCCTAGTAACTATTTATTTCAGGGTTTTCCAAACTTATTCTGATTTTACTGTTTGGAGAAATATACATGAAATCACTGTTGTTCTTGGTAATGATAACTTTTGCCACAGACACTACCTTCATCTACTCTTCCACACTTGTGCTGGCTGGCTAACCTCTAATTTTACTGCAGAATAAGCCTCATTTTCTTAGGAAAGTTGACATCTTCTTTAACCATTCTTTATACCAAACAACCAACCATGATTTTATTCATGGGTGTATGACCTGGACCTGGTCAACAGAATCTAAAGGGAAGACCAATAGAAAATTCTGGAAACTTTTTTTATATCTTATAAAAGAACAGCTCGCAGTTGATTACTGCTCTTCATTGTTGAACATCATTAGGTCTACACAGTTTGCTGAAACTGCCATATGTACATTGAGTCCATGAGGCAGGCCATTGTTGACAAGCCAAACATAGCATAGTGGGAGAAGGAAAGTATCCAAAGCCTTGACTATATCATTGTCATTGTACTACTGAAATTAATCTCCTTTAAAGCCTCTAGATTTCTTGTGATGTCAGATATCAAACATTTTTAAGGCACTTTTAGTCATGCATTCTGTTAATGGGAATTTCGAAAATTCTAACAAGCATACAACTGTCAGGCCCTACCCCATATCTATATGAACAGAAGCTCCAGGGAAAGGTAACGAGTCTATTTTTGAACCTGATATTGGCCAATATTTTCATTTTAGCTATGAGGACACTGAGGCTTAGAGTAATGTAGGTAACTTTGCCTAGGGTTATACAGCTTATTAGTGTAAGAGATAGAAAAGAAACCTAGGGAATCTGTTTCCCTAATATGTTTTCATGTAATTCCCATCCCCCTCACACTCAACAACACTTTTATCAACTCTTTTATGAACTATTTGTCAGCAGGCAAGAGAGTACAGCACATTTACCCTAAAGGCGTGTCCAGGTATTTTATTCTGTTGCATAGTTAGCAGAACTTTGTATGCAAAATGGCTGGTTGGATGTTTCTGGGGAGAAGGAAAAGGTATTTTATTACTTCAATACTTTCAAAAGATTGATTATTGCCTTTTTTCCTTCTCCTCTTCTTCCTTCTTCTTTTCCTCTTACTCCGTTTCTCTTTTTTACATTATGTCTTCCTAATCAACCCCTTTTTCCAAGATAGTTAAATGAACAGGTTTGAATATGGTTAAAATGAAGTCAGAGTGAACAATATCCATTATTTTCTCTGCCTCCAATCCCACATCTTCATTTTATCTTTGGTTGCAGACTAGAAAATTTAAATTCTGATTAAATCTGTGTTTTATTTTATGTAATTTAACAGGTTTAATTTGACTGAACACTTGCTTTCATTTTATTTGAGTTATGGAGTAAAAGAAGTATGATATTTTAGGCAAATAAAAGACAAATCTGGAATTTTGCTTCACTGAGTTGAAAGTAACTGGATTAGTTCATCCTCAGGCATAAAACACTTTTCTTTGAAAGGTGTGTTCTCTTAGTTGTGAATTATGCATCACATTTAATAATTTATACTTAACAAGGATAGGAGTTGCATATCCTATATCCACATAATATTGTCGCCTTTAAAATTTATTTTCTTATTTAGTGGAAATGTTGAGATGAGAGAGATATAGTAGAAATTTTAAAAAAGTCATGATAATTATTTGTGATTCACCTCATAAGAAAGCAGAAGCTGTTATTTTAGTTGTTTAGTAATAAAATGAGAATTCTTCATTTAGGTTAAAAAAATGACAATTTTCACTTCAAGTACTAGTTCTAGTAAAATAACAGTCTTTTTCTAAAGCAGATAAATATTACCATTGTACAGGAAGCCTGAGTGTAATAGAGCAAAATGTTTATTTCATATTTTCATATTGGTAACCTCCAGGCTTGCTGAGTAAACAGAAGTCTTTCCTTTCCTAACTTGGTGGCTTATCCGTGCTCAAATGGCAGAAGAAACTACATGCTGCCACAGAGGGTAAATAGTTCTTTATTAAAATCAAATGCCAAATGTTCTGAGTGCAAGTACTTTCCACAAAGCCCAATGACTGAAATTTTCCCCAAATAGACCAAACCATTTGCCTGCCCTAAAGAGTAACACACACACACACACACACACACACACACACCACAATTATAAAAGTTAGTAAGTGGCAGAGGTCGGCATTAAATATTGTGAAAGTAAGAGAAAATAGTTTAATGACTAACTCTAGTATTCTGAGTGCTAGAATTTGATCATATACACACAAGTTGTGTGAGTTTAATTAGAATCTATAACAAAAATGTAAATAGGTATTTTAAAGGACATATATATATGTGTGTGTGTGTATATATGTGTATATATATATATATATACACACACAGTTGATGTGGGTATTGTTAGGTGAGAACTCAATTATTTCCGTTTTCTGATTTTATCAATTGGATTTTTAAATTAAAATAATTTATAACATTAATAATGAGTCTGCTACTTTTTCCTATGAGTGGGATACGTCTGTTTGTAGGTGATTATTTAAGGTAAAGTAATCCTAAATGTTTTCACTGGTACTCTCTCTCCTGCTTCTGAATTCCTTTTTCTATCCTCCTCTCCTAGGCCTCCCAAAATAACATTCAATTTAACAACAGACATCTTCATGAAATTCTTTTGCATTGCATTTTTTAAAAACTTGCTTCTGATTTAATAGTAGCTCAGCTACTACCAGAGGGAAGTATCTCTATACTGATGAAATACATTATTTGACAGTCATTTAAAAATAATTGTCAAGGTTTGGGCACTATACTAGCCTCCTAGGTAGCTATAAAGAAGGAGAAACAAACAATTCCTAAGCTCAAAAATTTTAAGGTTTCAAAGGTGGTGATTTTGCCATCTAAAGAAATAAGAGATTACTTACTAAATATCAAAGAAAACTTTGGGATTTTGATAGCCCACCAGGCCTATATATAAAAGTCTATATTCATCAAATGTTCCCAACCTAAATGTAAGTGAAGTTATCCAGCATGTTGTAGACATGTAAACATAAAGGATTCCATTAGCAAAACTATTCTGATAAACTCTGCAATGGACATTGTGCTTTCTGTATGGATTTCACTAGGCAGAACCCAATTTAAGAGAGGCAGGCACCTAGCATACCTCTCCTTAAAGGAGGTTAAAGCCTTTTTGAAATAAATCTGACTTGAAGCTTTACTGCAGATCTCCAGACTCAATCCTCTGCAAAACTGGAAAAGAGAAATATGTTTCATTCACCTCAAAGTAGACAAATAGTTTAAAGTGAACCAACAAAAAATAAAACTTGCCTGTGTAGCTTTATACTCACACAATAAAGACTAAGTACACATTTTTATTATCATTTTGAAAAAGATAAAATGATTAACCTTTCCTGCATGTTCATGTTTCTCCTTTTAGTTCTGATATCAGACTGATGAAAGAGGCTATAAGAGGTTACACACTCTGGAAACAGAGGGATGGGACTATGTACTATAGGTAGGAATGAAGACAGCAGGTGGGTGTAGGGGCAGCTACTGGGATTAAGATGTCAGAAATATGCAATGGAATAAAGAATGATATAGATAGATAAGGAAATAAAGAAAGAAAAGAAGGAAAGAAAGAAAGAGAGAAAGAAAGAGTGGGGGAAACTGCATGAGAACTCATCCACTATCATGAGAACAACATGTGGGAAACTGCCTGCATGATCCAATCACCTCCCTCCAGGATAAAAATGAGAAAGCAGGATGGTTTTGAGGGTGTACAGATGACGTGGTGGGACTAAAGCAGAAGCTTGTGGCAAGTGGGGGAAAAGAAAAATAAGGCCAGAGTGTGCTTTGGTGACAGCCATGAAGCACACCTACATTTAGGATATAGCACTAGAAAAAGTCTTTAGGTATTTGAAAGACAGATCTGAAGATGGAGAGTCTTATTCTCTAAAAAACTAGTAACTATAACCTGGATCCATGGGTGAGAGTCAAAACAAAGAAATAACTTGGTGATAATAATAAAGCATTTTCTAGTACCTAAAGTTATATAGTAGTAAACAAAATATGGTAATAATCATGATTATTCATTAGGCTGTTTGTAGGATATCCACAGCAATATTGAAAAAAGATTCCTAATTTTTGTCAGCTACATGATATGAGAAAATCAAATTTAAGCAGTATGAATCTCTTTCTACTAAATTCTAACAGTATTACAATTTAAATGATAGAAAAGCCCCTTATAGACTTCTGGGTAGACCAGTATATCTTTAAATCCAGTGACAGATTCTTATAGAGGTTATTTCTCCATTGTTTAACTCATTCCACGCTGATTTTCTGAGTATTTTTCTATATGCTAAGTCCAGCAACCAGCATTGTTAATTCAGAGATGAATAGCACATACATAACCATTAAAAAACAAAAATAAATAAATAAATAAAAGAATAAAAACATGTAAAACTTCAGTATTGTTATACTAGTATGAGTATAGATTTTCCCATTAGTTTTCCCATAAAGTTAATAAACACTTTAACGTACACAAGTTTAAAAATCAGAGTGGAGAACAAAGAAAATTAAAGGTGCAAGCATAGGGCTTGTGTGGAAAAAGTTCTGTGATTTGGGAAATGAACACAATAAGGCACATGGAGGGAGAGAGTAGTCAGTGAGAAACATACACAGAACACTGTTTGGACAACTCCTGAATATGTGACTCTTTAGACGTTCATTGCTTCACTCTTTGTCTTGAGTACTTTTTAAATATAAAAATTAGCAGTAGAGGACAGCATGGATGTTTTAGACAGACAGACTAAATGGCAGCATGACATTGGAAAACTCACCTAGCCTCTCTGAACCACACATTAATAACTCCTGAAAGGCTGATAATCTAAAGCTCCACAAATCCTTAGTGAGGAATACATTAGATGACATACACAAGTACATGGTAGTAATGGAACACAGAAGAACAAATTGTATGTAGTGATATTCTGAGCAGTACTGAAAATTTAGTTTGCTAAATGAATTGGCATACCTAGAGAACCAACATTCCCTATATACATGCCATTTTTCTCTTAAAAGATAGGGCTAAATTATCTTAACTTTTTAAAAAATAATGGAATTATTATGGAGCAAAATGTAACATATTTGATTTTTTTTGTGTTTTCATGGTGCTTTTTTATTTATCTAATTGAAGACATAAACCTTAAACATGGATGAACAATGTAGACGGGAATTATAATAATTTCTACTAGATTGCTGACTGTGTAAAAGCATGAAATATATGTAATTTTAAGGCCCTGGCATATACTAAATAATACATGAATAAAAGTAAAATTAATTAACATTCAGGTTTTATTGGTAGCCATGTCTAGAAAACCTACCAGGGGGCTATTGTCTTCTTCTATGGAGTTTGCATATTGTACTTTCATTTCAAACGGTGGGCTTGGAGCTTTTCAACTACCTTCAACTGCAGTGCAACAGCTGCTTAAAAACTAAGGCTTATTTACTCTCATGGAAAAGGAGTATGGAAGATGCGCAGCTGTAACTAGGGACTATGGCCATCAGCCTAGCTTACTTAGGTGTTTAACTGACAAAAGTCAGGTTTTCCATGCTCATCTTGGCTTTCATTGTTTGTTCTCCTTCCTGTTCCAGGTTTACTGTCATTTTTCTTATTTCTGTAGAAAAAGAGAAGTTTCCTTTTCCATTGCATCTTGAGTCCACTCATCTATGGTGAAAAGCAAACCCAACCTCCCTACAGGTTGTTATATTCTTTGGGCTCTCCTGCTTTAACATAGTGGTATGGAGGAAGAACATATGCTGAATCAGAACAACAAAACTCCATTCAAATACATTCCCCAACACCTACTAGCTGTGTGACTTGTGACATTTCAAGCCTCAGTGTCATATTTATATAAGTCAAAATAATTGCATCTCCATCACAGTCATTTTGTGAGGAATGAATAAGAAAATACATCTTATTTAAGTCACAAAAGTCTTGGCCTGAAATAGAGACTCAACCAGCGAGTTTCTTTTTTGCCAGCTTGTCATAGGATCTGCGTTTTCCCAAAGCAGCTGGAATATTGCCTTCTGTGCTTTTCAAGTGTGAATTATTAAGAAGGCTTTACTCTTTTCCTTTTTTCAGATACCCCAGGTCTTGATCAGTCTTTTACTTTTTTTTCCTTGGAACCCTCTCCCTTTGTCTTTTTCATTTTTAACTTAATATTATAAATTTATATTTTTCTTTCTTTTATATTATATATATTTTTTCCTAACTTTCCTGCTGACTTGTATCTCTACTCTAAAAGCCCTTTGGGAGTTTGTAGTTTAGAAAACTTTAGGTTCAGAGAAATGTCAGCAAGATTGTCAAACTCTCCTTCATGGACACAACAGCAACAACAACACACAGATCAATTTTTCTTTGAGAAATACAGAAGCTAATTGTTTATAAAACTGATCTTGTATTGTGTTTTTACAATAATTTCCATATATTACAGATCCATATATTCATACTGGAATTACATCATTACATTCTTAATCTAAGATTCATTAGTTTATTGAGCACCTACTTTGCTTTAAGCAGTCTTATGCTGTCTGGGCATACAACACTGAACAAGTATCTTCTCTCTTGATATTTATAGTATAATGAAGCAGGGCGATACAATATTACTTTTAATTGACGATCAAACTTTTACCAAATGTTTCTCACAAATCAGATGCTATATCTGCATCTGCACACATTTAACCTCAGCCCCCTCCTTGCGTCTCTGCAGGATTTTATTGTCAGGAGAAAGAAACATATTAACATAAGATGAAATATCAGAAGTTATTATTATTTGCTAATAAGATAAAAGTTTATGCTGTGCCACTTTGCTTAATGCTCAAAAATGTTGAAAAATTTAAATATTCCTCTTTTCCTATATCTAAAGATGCTATTTTACAAATATTAGCAAAAAGATCAATAATTTTCTGTCAGTAGAAAGTTTTTGAGCTGTACTCACTCAAATTGTAAAACTCTTGAGTACTTATATTCATTCTTCAGACTGCTTGATAGAAAGATCTCATCTACCTAGAAAAAAAATTAAAGGTTGAATAAATATGCTAAATTTAAGATTTTAACTTTTGTTCAAAAATTTATATAAAGCAATCTTTAGTTCTGTTTAGAATTGGGTCAGTTTTCTCCATAGTAATGGGGCTTATATATTTAAATATCTTGGGCATATTACATTTATTTTCTAGTTGTTTCAGAGAGAGAAAATGGTATCTTTGGCAAGTAGTTAGTTAAATTATGTTATAAAATTTTAAACCAGCTGAAGAGAGACAGTCTCCTACCATTTGCTGAAGGTCAAAAGCAAGAACTTTGAAATCCGCTGAGAGTTTGTCTTGCAAATTAGGATTATATGTAACTCCAGATGTTATTTTAAATGTCCCTCTGGCTTCATGACTTTGTCCAAGTGCTGCACCTGGATAAATTAATAAGAAAAAAACACTAAGATTTTCGATTATGAGTAGGAGAAAAATATGCACATTCTGTTAAAACTTAGAAGTAAAGCTATTGCTTGATGTGTTAGCTCTGTAGTTCTTACTTTTTCTTTGTAGTCTCATGTTTCAAAACCAGCTGCTTTCTTTCCCCACCTGTCTGATTGTTTTAAAAGATTGGAAACTAAACTTTTTTCCATTCTTTCAATATATATTTTTTTCTTTTCCTTTCTTTGAAGTCTAACCCTCACTCCAAGCCTCCAAGTTTTCATTATTATTGTTATTGAGATTCCTGTTGGAAGATACATGGACTGATCAACTCTCACCAATTATGGGAAGTGACTCAGGGAAACATGGTGAGAAGTGAACCATTAAAAGTTTTGTAGTTACTTTCAGATACTTCTGGAACACCTAGCATCCAGGGACACCACTGGGTTTTGACATATGAATTGCTGTGAAGTTCCAGTGTTTTGGTTACTTTGAAACATGACTTTGAAGCTACTTCTTTCATTCTAATAATTATAAAACTGGCATGCATGACCTTGTGCCATTAGTTGGTGACTGTCCTTGTTGAAGATGTTATTTAGAATGCTGTGGAAAATAGATTGCCTCACTAGGGAAAAAAATGTAAAAAAAGAAGACTAACAAATTAAACATAAACATGACTAATAAAACGTGTCATTAAGTCCTGCATAATCCCTTTATCAGCATATTTTCATTGATACTGATTTATGTTTAAAATGAATTGCTTCAAATGAAACTCACACAATGATGAAATCATTAGTTAATATAAGAATAAAGATATAAAATTCTGGTGTGAGAAGACATTATTTCTTCTTTTCTGATATGGGGTAATTGGGATTTAGAATGACTAAGAAAATTTCTCCAGATAGTAAAGATTTTAAGCATTGGATCTGGGATTTGCTCATTGAAATGTCTGATTCCACAACCTAGGATCTCTATGTAATATGCTGACACCAAACTATACAGTTAAGAGGATAATTAGAAATAATAATTCAAGCAGTATATGTGTATATAGTCTAAACAGTTTAGACTGCATAATTAATATAGAATATTATTTATACTATTTCATTTGTATTTTAAAAACTCAAAATTACATTGAAGTTTGCATGTTTAAATATAGAAAACAAGGAAGGACTGAGGACTACAACAGATGGAAGGACACTAAGCCCCAACCTAGCAAGGCAGGCAAACATTCAAGTCCAGGAAATACAGAGAACACCACAAAGATATTCGTCAAGAAGAGCAACCCCAAGGCACATAATCGTCAGATTCACCAGGGTTGAAATGAAGGAGAAAATACTAAGGGCAGCCAGAGAGAAAGGTCGGGTTATCCACAAAGGGAAGCCCATCAGACTCACAGCAGATCTCTCAGCAGAAACCCTACAAGCCAGAAGAGACTGGGGGCCAATATTCAACATCCTTAAAGAAAAGAACTTTCAACCCAGAATCTCCTATCCAGCCAAACTAAGCTTCATAAGTGAAGGAAAAATAAAATCCTTTGGGAACATGCAAGTACTCAGAGATTTCGTCACCACCAGACCAGCTCTACAAGAGCTCCTGAAAGAGGCTCTATACATATAAAGGAACAACAAGTACCAGCTCAACTAAAGGGCAAAACATCCAGCTAGCACCAAAATGGCAGTATCAAATTCGCACATAACAATATTAACCCTAAATGTAAATGGACTAAATGCCCCAATCAAAAGACACAGACTGGCAAATTGGATAAAAAGCCAAAACCCATCGGTGTGCTGTATCCAGGAAACCCATCTCGCATGCAAGGATACACAAAGGCTCAAAATAAAGGGATGGAGGAAGATTTACCAAGCAAATGGAGAGCAAAAAAAGCAGGAGTTGCAATTCTCATCTCTGATAAATTAGACTTTAAAGCAACAAAGATCATAAGAGACAAAGAACGACATTACATAATGGTAAAAGGATCAATGTAACAAGAAGAGCTAACGATCCTAAATACATATGCACCCAATACAGGAGCACCCAGATATATAAGGCAAGTTCTTAATGACTTACAAAGAGACTTAGACTCCCACACAATTATAGTGGGAAACTTTAACACCCCATTGTCAATATTAGACAGATCAACCAGACAGAAAATTAACAAGGATATCCAGGACTTGAACTCAGACCTGGACCAAGCAAACCTAATAGACATTTACAGAACTCTCCACCCCAAATCCACAGAATATACATTCTTCTCAGCACCACATCACACCTACTCTAAAATTGACCACATAATTGGGAGTAAATCACTCCTCAGCAAATGCAAAAGAACGGAAATCGTAACAAACAGTCTCTCAGACCACAGTGCAATCAAGTTAGAACTCAGAATTCAAAAACTAACTCAGAACCGCACAGCTTCATGGAAACTGAACAACTTGCTCTTGAATGTTGACTGGATAAACAATGAAATGAAGGCAGAAATAAAGATGTTCTTCGAAACCAACGAGAATGAAGACACAACATACCAGAATCTCTGGGACACATTTAAAACAGCCTCTAGAGGAAAATATATAGCAATAAGTGCCCGCATGAGAAGCAAGGAGAGATCAAAAATTGACACCCTATCGTCAAAACTGAAAGAGCTAGAGGAGCAAGATAAAAAAACCTCAAAGTCTATTAGAAGACAAGAAATAGCTAAGACCAGAGCAGAATTGAAGGAGATAAAGACAGAAAAAACCCTTCAAAAAATCAATAAATCCAGGAGTTGGTTTTTTGAAAAGATCAACAAAATAGACAGACCACTAGCCAGATTAATAAAAAAGGAAAGAGAGAATAACCAAATTGATGCAATAAAAAACGATAAAGGGGATATCACCACAGATTCCACAGAAATTCAAACCATCATCAGAGATTATTACAAACAACTCTATGCACATAAACTAATAAACCTGGAAGAAATGGATACATTCCTGGACACTTGCCTCCTCCCAAGCCTAAACCAGGAAGAAGCCGAAACCCTGAACAGACCCATAACAAGGTCTGAAGTTGAGGCAGCAATTAAGAGCTTACCACCCAAAAAAAGCCCAGGTCCAGGTGGGTTCACAGCCGAATTCTACCAGACATACAAAGAGGAGCTGGTACCATTCCTTCTGAAACTATTCCAAACAATACAAAAAGAGGGAATTCTTCCCAAATCATTTTATGAGACCAACATCATCCTGATTCCAAAACCCGGCAGAGACTCAACAAGAAAAGAAAACTTCAGGCCAATATCCATGATGAACATAGATGCAAAAATCTTCAATAAAATACTGACAAGCCGATTGCAACAGCACATCAAAAAGCTTATCCACCATGATCAAGTAGGCTTCATCCCGGGGATGCAAGGCTGGTTCAACATACGCAAGTCTATAAACGTAATTCACCACATAAACAGAACCAAAGACAAAAACCACACGATTATCTCAATTGATGCAGAGAAGGCCTTTGACAAAATTCAACAGCCCTTTATGCTAAAAACCCTCAATATCTAGGTATTGATGGAACATATCTCAAAATAATAAAAGCTATTTATGACAAACCAACAGCCAATATCATACTGAATGGGCAAAAACTGGAAGCATTCCCCTTGAAATGTGGCACCAGACAAGGATGCCCGCTCTCACCACTGCTATTCAATATAGTATTAGAAGTTCTAGCCAGAGCAATCAGGCAAGAAAAAGAAATAAAGGGCATTCAAATAGGAAAGGAGGAAGTCAAATTGTCTCTATTTGCTGGCGACATGATTGTATATCTAGAAGACCCCATCATCTCAGCCCCAAATCTCCTGAAACTGATAAGCAAGTTCAGCAAAGTCTCAGGATACAAAATCAATGTGTGAAAATCACATGCATTCCTATACACCAATAACAGACTTAAAGAGAGCCAGATCAAGAACAAACTTCCATTCACAATTGCCACAAAGAGAATAAAATACCTAGGAATACAACTAACAAGGAACGTAAAGGACCTCTTCAAGGAGAACTACAAGCCACTGCTCAATGAAATAAGAGAGGACACAAACAGATGGAGAAACATTCCATGTTCATGGTTAGGAAGAATCAATATCGTGAAAATGGCCATACTGCCCAAAGTAATTTACAGATTCAATGCTATCCCCATCAAGCTACCAATGACCTTCTTCACAGAACTGGAAAAAACCACCTTAACTTCATATGGAACCAAAAGAGAGCCCGCATAGCAAAGTCAATTCTAAGCAAAAAGAACAAAGCGGGAGGCATCACACTACCGGACTTCAAACTATACTACAAGTCTACAGTAATCAAAACAGCATGGTACTGGTACCAAAACAGAGATATAGACCAATGGAACAGAACAGAGGTCTCGGAGGCAACACAACGTATCTACAACCATCTGATCTTTGACAAACCAGACAAAAACAAGCAATGGGGAAAGGATTCCCTGTTCAATAAATGGTGTTGGGAAAGCCGGCTAGCCATGTGCAGAAAGCAGAAACTGGACCCCTTCCTGACACCTTACACTAAAATTAACTCCAGATGGATTAAAGACTTAAACATAAGACCTAACACCATAAAAACCCTAGAAGAAAATCTAGGCAAAACCATTCAGGACGTAGGTGTAGGCAAGGACTTCATGACCAAAACACCAAAAGCATTGACAACAAAAGCCAAAATAGACAAATGGGACCTAATCAAACTCCACAGCTTCTGCACAGCAAAAGAAACAGTCATTAGAGTGAATTGGCAACCAACAGAATGGAAAAAAAATTTTGCAGTTTACCCATCTGACAAAGGTCTGATATCCAGAATTTACAAAGAACTAAAACAGATTTACAAGAAAAAAACTAACAAGCCCATTCAAAAGTGGGCAAAGGATATGAACAGACACTTTACAAAAGAAGACATACATGAGGCCAACAAACATATGAAAAAATGCTCATCATCACTGGTCATCAGAGAAATGCAAATCAAAACAACATTGAGATACCATCTCACGCCAGTTAGAATGGCGATCATTAAAAAATCTGGAGACAACAGATGCTGGAGAGAATGTGGAGAAATAGGAACACTTTTACACTGTTGGTGGGAGTGTAAATTAGTTCAATCATTGTGGAAGACAGTGTGGCGATTCCTCAAGGACCTAGAAATAGAAATTCCATCTGACCCAGCAATCCTATTACTGGGTATTTATCCGAAGGATTACAAATCGTTCTACTATAAGGACACGTGCACACGAATATTCATTGCAGCACTGTTTACAATAGCAAAGACCTGGAACCATCCCAAATGTCCATCGACGATAGACTGGATAGGGAAAATGTGGCACATATACACCATGGAATATTACACAGCCATCAAAAATGATGAGTTTGTGTCCCCCTGTAGGGACATGGATGAACCTGGAAACCATCATTCTCAGCAAACTGACAGAAGAGCAGAAGATCAAACACCGCATGTTCTCACTCATAGGCGGGTGTTGAACAATGAGAACACATGGACTCAGGGAGGGGAGCACTACACACTGGGGTCAGTTGGGGGGAAATAGGGGAGGGACGGTGGGGGGTGGGGAGCTGGGGAGAGATAGCAAGGGGAGAAATGCCAGATGTAGGTGATGGGGAGGAAGGCAGCAAATCACACTGCCAAGTGTACCCTTGCAACAATTTTGCATGTTCTTCACATGTACCCCAAAACCTAAAATGCAATAAAATAAATAAATGGGGGGAAAAAAAAGAAAGGACACTAAGGAAGCAAAATAAATCTTATGTAGGTATCTGCATTGGATCTTAAACTGGTAAAGGACATTAGTAAAAAAACTGGTGAAATTTGATTAACATATGTCATTTAGTTAACAATATTATAGAAATGTTAATTTATTGATTGTGACAATTGTATTGTCATTATGTAAAATATTAACATCCAAGGAAGCTGGGTTATATGATAACTCTGTATAATTTTTGTAACTTTTAGTAAGTCTAAAGTGATTTTTAAAAAAGTACAAAAAAATGTTAAATATAGTATGTGCTTTTAAATCCCCAAAGATTCTGCAAAAAGGCTATTGGAACTGATAAAAGACTTCAGCAAAGTTTCAGGATACAAAATAAATGTAAAATATGAGCTGCATTTCTATACACCAATTACATTCAAGCTGAGAGCCAAATCAAAAATTCAATTCCATTTTCAATTGCCATACAAAAGATAAAATACCTAGGAATATGTCTAACCAAGCACATAAAAGAATCCTACAAGGAGAACCTCAAAGCATCCCTGTAAAAACCAGATAACATAAACAAATGGAAATAATTCCATGCTAATGGATTGGAAGAATCAATGTTGTTAAAATGGCAATACTGTTCAAAGCATCCTAAAAATTCAGTGCTATTCCTATTAAACTGTCAAACTCATTTTTCATAGAATTGCAAAAAATGATTCTAAAATTCATATGGAACTGCGAAAGAGCCAGAATAGTCAAAGCAATCCTAAGCAAAAAGAACAAAGTCAGAGGCATCACATTACAAAATTTCATGCTACACTATAAGGCTATAGTAACTAAAACAGCATGGTAGTGGTACAAAAACGGACACTTGGTCCAATGGCACAGAGTAGAGAAACCACAGTAAAGTAAAGCTACACAACTGCAGCCATCTAGTCTTTGACAAAGTTGACAAAAATAAACATTGAGGAAAAGACTCTCTAGTCAGTAAACAGTGCTGGTATATCCGGTTAGCCATATGCAGAAGAATGAAACTGGACCCCTACATTTCACCACATAGAAAAATTAACTAAAGATAAATTAAAGATTCAAATTAAGACCTCAAACTCTAACAGTCCTAGAGGAAAACATAGGAAACATTATTCTGGAAATTATTCTTTGCAGATAATTAGGACTAAATCCTCAAAAGCAGTTTCAACCAAACCGAAAATTGACAAGTGGGATCTAATTTAACTAAAGATTGTCTGCACAGCAAAAAACTATCAAGAAAGTAAACATACAACCTATGGAATGGGAGGAAATACTTGCAAACTATGCATCTGACAAAGGTCTAATATCCAGAATCTACAAGGAACTTAAACAATTGAACAAGCAAAAAATAAACCCATTAAAAAATGGGCAAAAGACATGAACAAACACTTCTTAAAAAAAGACGTACAAGTGGCCAACAACTATTTGAAAAAAATACTCATCACCACTAATCACCAGAGAAATGTAAATCAAAACCACAATGAGATACCGTCTCATACTGGTCAGAATGGCTATTACTAAAAAGTGAAAAAACAACAGATGTTGGTAAGGCTGCAGAGAAAAAAGAACACTTATACACTGTTGATAGAAATGTAAATTAGTTCAGCCACTGTGCAAAGCCATTTGGAGATTTCTCAAAGAACTTCAAACAGAAATACTATTTGACCCAGCAATCCCATTACTGGGTATACATCCAAAAGAAAATAAGTCATTCTACCAAAAAGACACATGCCCTCAGACATTTATCATAGCACTGTTTATGATAGCAAAGTCATGAAATCAACCTAGGTGTCCATCAACGGTTTACTGGATAAAGAAAATGTGGTACATACACATCATGGAATAAGATGCAGCCATAAAAAAGAATGAAATCATGTCTCTTGTAGCAACATGGATGTAGCTAGAGGCCATTATCCTAAGGAAATTAATGCAGGAACAGAAAAAACACATACCACATGTTCTCAAGTATAAGTGGGAGCTAAACAGCAGGTACTCATGGACATTAAGATGGTAACAACAGACACTGGGGACTACCAGAAGGGGAGGGTAAAAGGGGCAAGTGTTGACAAACTAACTTCTGGGTACTATGCTCAGTACCTGAATAATGGGATCATTCATACCCCAAACCTCAACACATGCAATATACCCACATAACAAACCTATATATGCATCCCCTGAATCAAAATAACAGTTTAAAAGAAAAAAAAGGTAGTATACATTATGGTCTTTGGTGTATTGGTAAAGCATTAACTTGAATCTCTTTTTATATTTAGTTGTTAGCTGTTAAATTTATTACCACTTATAAATGTTTATTTTCTATTTCACTTGTAAAATAACTAACCTTTGTATGTTTATTAAATATCAGGGATTCCAATGGACTTTCAAATGCTTATAGACCCTTCAAGTTATCCACAGCAATTCAATAAGACCAAAACAGCTATTTTTAAAAATAGTTTAAGTCAATCTGTATTATCATTTAGTAGTTTGTATAATTATATAAAATATCCACAAAGTTATTAAAAAAATAACCCTTGTGTATGGCTATAGTTTTTAAATAGGCTGGGAATTATACTAATATTATTTTATATAACTACAGCATATGCATTACATTCTAATTTAAACTTATTAACATACTAGAATAAAATAGCTAACCCAACAGTTGAGAATTTGATTGGTGAAACTAAAATCACTCACATGTGAAAGACCTTACCCTGTGAATTTTTAGAAAGAATTTATATGTCCATATATAGTTCATCAATTTAAAAATGTAAAAAATTGTCTGAGAAAAAACTCTTAGTATTTAGGTTATTGCTATGCTTTCAATTTTTTAAATTTACCCTATAAATGAATAAGTACTAAGATGGACTTATTCATCTTAAGTTCCAGATCTGGGTTTTCTAATTTGGAATCTTATTTCTGCTGCCCAACTTAAGTAAGTTACTTCTGGTCTCTGTCTCAGATTCCCCATCTGTGAAATGAGCATAGCAATAACCATTTATACGTTGTAGGTATACAATACATTTCAAGGTCTTTTAAAAGTTGTTGGTACAAAGTGAGCTCTAAATAAGAGTTATCATTTCTTATGTTTTTTTCTGTTTATCAAAGTTGCTACTCAGACAGTTTGTGATCTTTTTAAGTCTACATTTATATACAGGTTCTTTTGCATTAGTAGAATTAAAATGGTTAGACTGATAAGAGAATGAAGATCTTATTCTATAGAAATAAACAATATTTTTGTTAACTTTGCATGTTTATGTACTTACATAGTCAACAACATATTAATAGATTTGTGATTTAAATTATATCAAAACAAAATCAGAGATCATGAAATCTACTTGATTATATGCTGAAACAAAGGGACTTCTTTAACATTATTTTTAAAAATACTTAGTCTCATGCTTGAATTCTAGGTTAAGTTTTTTTTTTTTTTCAAACTATATACCAATTAATTTTCCTAATATTCTCTGAAGGGAACTACAGAGAAGTATGTGAATGCAACACAAATATCTTGTCATGAAGCCACAGTAATGAATAAAATAGACTTACAGGATAACTGAAATTCAAGTGTGTACATTCAACTGAGAGCACTTTTATGAGCCAACTCCATGTGACTTACCTTGTTGTGATTCCTTGATTGTCAGCCAGGACACTGCAATTAATCCAGCACAGAGCACTATCAATATGGCAAAGAGAGCTGCAAACACGATTTCATAGGAGCTAAGAGAATGGTGCCTAGAAGATACAGTTCTTCTAGACTCCATTTTTGGTTTTGAAGGCTTGCTAATTTAAGAGCTTAAAAAGAGTATGAGTAACTCTACCAACTGAAGAGCAAAATCTCTCAAATTTTTAAAGGTGTGTAAAGCAAAAACCACCTGCCTACACTCATACCAGTCAGTGTAAGTGAGTCGTGTATGTCCTTTGGCAAAATTATGTCTCTATACATTAAGTATCATGAAAAGGGTGGTTAATCTTTAAGAAGGTATAAATGAGTAAAGATGCCTAGAGTTGTAAATGTTAACTGCCTGAACAGGACATTTGCCAAGGTGAATAAAATTAAATTCATGTTGTAAACAAAAAAGACACTTTATCATTTTGAGAACTATTAAGAAAAATGTGAAATTCATGACAGATAAATTAGTCACTGGGCACATGCATTTGATATTCATAGAGTTCCTAACAGATCAACCTTCTACCCTCTGACTCATATTACGCTTAAGATATTTTTCTTGTATGTGGACATAGATATTCTAAAAATAACTTTTAGGTACAGATGTATATAAAGTCTAACATATACCTCCTCTCTTTGTGTACACACATATATACATATATTCCTTACGGAAACAATCAACAGTGTTGCACACTTTGTTATGACACCCATGTGAAGCTAATGAATGAGAGTGCCTGTCATAAGAGGAATAAAAAATGTGTTTCTATTCTAAGGAAACATTCTGGGTAGGGCAGACATTGCTCACTTGCCCTGGACTTTATCTCTCTAATATGCCAATTAGAACAAGAGAACAGGTTAAGATAATCATTGTTACAGTTGTAGACTTACGCTTTATGGGAAAACCAAAGTTGCTCTCTGATAATTAAATTACAGTGTCTCACTGGGATTATTCACACCATGAATAATGAATCCAGGAATTTTAAAATGCAAAAATTAAAACCAAATAAAACCAAATCTATTCTGAAGTAAACCAATGTGCCTTTTTTTTCTGGCAAATAAAACTGGCAAGAGGTAAGAAAGTTTTAGAGTAGAAACCCCTAACACACTGAAATTGTGGCATATTACAATGGGCTAAGATAAGCAGTAGCTGCTTTTCTTCTTCTTGACCAATGAAAGAAGAAAATTGCAGTTGCATGCAAATTCTTGCTGATAAAAAATAGAATTATGAGTAAATAAATGAAATTTTGAATTGAATGAATTGTGATTAAATCGATGAAATTATTGATTGCAAATATTTATATTTTTAGAGAATTGACTTATTACTTATTCTTAAATGCTGTAAAATATACACGAAATCAGAGATATCACTTATGGAACTGGGAGAAGTTTATTTCATTTATATTCTAGGGGACAATTAAAATACCTAGGGGAATATATTCAATTATATTCTAGGGGACTATTATATATAGCTAACGCAGAAGCAAACCCCTTTTAGAATATCATATAGAACTTTAAGTTATGTTTCTTTTGACTCTGAAGAAGGAAAGCAGAAGATAGCAAGTGAGTTCACATGTCTGCTTCAAGCATAACACGGATTAATGGATAAAATATTAGATTGAAAGCCCAAAATAAGGCATTTAGTTTCAAAAACAAAACTTTTACTTTCAGATCATAAATTCTTCTCAAATAATGTTTTAAATGATTATATTTAGTATCAAGTAAATAGTGAAAGAATAGCTTTTTAAAATAAAGCAATAATTTATGAAGGATGGACTGAAATTAAACAAACAGGTAAATGTGAAAAATCAACAAATATGACTTGAAATTTTTAAAAAAGTTTATTAAAATAAAACAGACTTGCCCTGTCAGGTAACAACGCTCATTACAAAGCTGTAATATAAAGAGTGTTGTATCTGTCCCAGAAAAGAAAACGGCCTCAGTGGAATTAAGTGCTCATAAGTGTGATTCGCATATGGAAACTTCATATTTCAAAAACATAGAACACTAATAATAGGTTAGAAAAGAATGGCAATTCAATACATAGTGCTGCATTGATTTGTTCTCCATCTTCCCATGAAGAACAATCAATCTTCATCTCACACCGTGAAGAAAGAAATTCCAGGCGGATTAAGCACATATAAAAAGCACAGGAAAATTTTAGAAGAAAGTAGAGAAGAATGTTTTTCTAACGATAATGTTTTGAAGGAGTTTTTAGAAAATGATTCAGAAATAAAAGGAAAAATCATGAACATTAATAAATTTAGCCAGTAATAACATTGACTTTTCTTTTTAAACAACAAAACGTATCTACAAAGCAAAACCCTAAGTCACAGACTTGTGTTTTTTTTTTTCTTTAAACTTTTTTTCAAACTGTATATGTTTTAGTTTGGCTACTACAGAACTGAATTGAGGCAAAAATTTTGGTATGAGGTACTTACATTTATTCTGGAGGCAGTCCAGGGAATTTACCTGCCAAAAATTCATGCTCACTGGTTGAGATGCTTCCGGGACTTCATCTGGCACTTTGAGTTACTCTGTGTGAGTAGAAATCCAGGGAAGTTGACTTGAGTGTTCAAGATGAATGAGAGGGCCTGTGAGTGTAGAATCCTTACAATGACTGCTATGGCTTACAAATAAAAAGCACTACTCGGAAATTAAGGAGAATTTCTATTGACTAATGGTTAAAAGATAAATAGCAGGCAATTGACAAAAAGTATAAAACCAAACAAAAAAGAAATAAAACAGGAGCACACAAATGTCTACAGGTGGTCAATGTTAATAGTTACTGTGGAATTCTAATTAAAATAAAAAACAAAATATTACTGACCTCAGACATATTAGCAAATATTAAAAACCTTAGCAATACTTAGTAGTGCCATTTATTGCTTATCTGAGTGAAGATTCAAATAATCATGTTGAATAGCAATTTGGTTAATATCTAGAAAAACTAAATACACACATACAACTGGACTTCCAAATTCCCTTTCCAGTTAAATTTGGGACAAGTAGACAATGAGACAATATTCATTTTAATACAATTTTAGGACCCACAAAATATAGGCAAAACGTAAATGTTCATTAATAGGAAAATGAAAAAGTGAAGTGTCATATTTTTGTAGAGTAAAATGTTACACACAAGTTTAAATTGCATGAACTAGAGCTGTATGTACTAAATTGGAAATAATACAACGAAACTATGAAAACAAACATGTTTAAAGGGATATATGTGATGTTTTACAACTTAAAATCAAAAAGAAAACCATTTGCTTAGTAATGCAATCGTGTATAATAAAAGTGTAGCTGGAAATGATCAATAGAAAATCCAATATGGTGGTTATTTCTGAGCAGAAATGGTGTTGATTAATATAGAAATAGAACAACAAGGAGTATTTGTATTGCATTACTTCTGTTAAAATATTTGTAATAAATTAATGAACCACATAAACGTTGACAGTTAGATGACTAGGACATGTGAGTTAATATTCTGCATTTTTTCTAAGTCAAAATTTAAAGGGGAGACATAAGATTGAAGTCCCTGTGATATTATTAATAATTTTCATCTTATCAAGTAATCGTTAAAATTCAAAGAAACTTTATGCACTAAGCTTTATTTTTATTTCTTTTTCTTTTCTTTTTTTTTTCAGACAAGGTCTCATTCTGTTACTCAGGGTGGCGTGAAATGGCATGATCCTGGTTTATTGCCACCTCTGCTTCTGGGGCTCAAACAATCCTCCTTCCTCAGACTCCTGAGTACATGGGGCTTGGGCTAAAGGTGTGTGTCATCATGTCCAGATAACTAACTTTCTTTCTATTCTTTCTCTCTCCC